CGGTGGTGAGGGTGCGGTAGGAGTTGGTCGGGTGTGGGGGGAGGGGGGGATGGTGGGGGGCATGGTGGGGGGCGGGGGGGGGGGGGGGGGGGGGGGGGGGGGGGGGTGGTGCATGTGGGAGAGGATGAAAGATACAGAAATAGCCCTACCTTGTTGCTAGGAAACAAGTAATGAGTTTAACTTTCTAGGTGGGGTCGACAACAAACCTGCCAAACTTTCTCAGCCAGTCATTACTTGTTTGAGAACCAGTTTAGCTGCAATTTTGTCCTCAGGTTTGAGGTATTATTCAAATCCATTCTGTCAGTTTTGGTTTTCATTCTTAAATATTAGTTATTTTGTATAATACCGGGATGTAAGTTGAAAGGAGGTGCATTCTGAAGAACAACACATCATAGTTATAAAGCCACTGTAAAGTAGTATAAATATCACAAGGTACTTCACAGGAGCACGAAAAATAAAATTTCCACAAAAGCCCACATAAATAGAAATTAGGGCAGAGGAATACAGAATGCACATCAGAGGGCACAGGATGATAGGTGAACAGGACTTGGTGCAACATTTGGATGTTATCAAACTTATATAAAGGAATTGAATGTGGAAGACCAGCCAAGAGTGCACTGGAACAGTCAAATCTGGAAGTAATACAGGCATAGATGAGGCATCCAAAAGCAGATGAGTTGAGATAATGGCCAAGTTAGGTTCAGTTATAATGGTGGAAATAGATAATCCTATTGATAGCGTGAATATGAGATCAAAACCTCTGAAGTCAAAAATCTCACCAAAGTTGTGAACAGTCTGCTTTTGCTTCAGACAGTTTCAAGGGAAAACTATGGAGACCATAACTGGGGAACAGAGTTTGTGATGCAGACCAAAGACAATGGTTCAACCTTCCAAGTATTTATTTGGAGGAATGTTTTGCTCCTCCTGTACTGGATGAACACTTAGCCAATTTAGAGATAGATGGTGGTGTGGTAAAGTTGGGTGGCATGAGTACAAGTGCAAACTAACACTTTGTTTTCAGATGGTTTCGCTGAGGGGCAGTGTGTAGATGAGAAATGGAAGCAATTCAAGGGTAGATTATTGGGGGTCACCAGAAATAACAGCTACAAGAGAAATCATTGCCTCTGATTTGCTGGCTATGATGAGACAGATAAGAATGGAACCAGGTGAGAACAGTTCCACTTGCTGGATGACAGTGGAGATATGTTGGAGGAGGGTGGTGTGGTCAACTGTGTCAAAGACTGGAGAAGAATGAAAATGAACAGGGGAAGTTTACCTTTAGCTGGGTCACATAGGATGTCATTCATGACTGTGATAAGAGCCATTTCAGTTCTGTGACGGGGCATAATTCTGAATTCAAACATGGAGTTCCAGGAAGGCTTTGCACAGATTTGGGAACCAACAATGTGTTCAACACATTTGGAGAGGAAATGAAGATTGAAGATAAGGTTTTAATTTATGGGGTCAGAGGAGGCAAGGGAAGCTTTAAATGGTAGGCCATCAGAATTGTGTTAACAGAGTGAGACAGAAAATTGGAGCAGTTTTAGAGAGAAATTCAGGACTCTGGGCCCAGGTAGCTGAAACCACAGCCACCAGTGGTGGATTGTAGGCATTTTGTAATGGACAAGAGATCAGATTTGAAGAGTATAAACATCTCAGAGAGTTGTCAAACTGGGATATGTTATAAAGGCCATGAAAAATCGATGGGTTAAGAATTTTAAATTTGAACTGGGGACCAATATATGTTAGGAGTACAGGGGGTCATGGTGGACAAACATTCTAATTGTTAAGTAATCGTACAGTTGAAATTATATATTTCTCCATGTTATGAGGGACATTTAAAGAGGCTTTCATGGGAGTAGAACCTGTCTTCCTACAAAAGCAGGCACAGAATGTGATGCAGGGCAATGCCTCCCTTACCTCAACTGAGCAAATCTTGCAGATATACATTGAGTTTATTGATTTTGACAGCTGACTGGATCCACTGGTTAATATGTAATCTCAGAGAGTGATGTACCCTGTACTAATTGTCAAAATTAAACATGAGACAGTTTAGATAACAGTGGAAACAATCTCAGCTTCTCAGGTCTTATGTCCATGAAAAATAACCCTTGATATTCTCTGGTCTGACAAGAATAATCCCAGCTTCTCTGACTCTTTCCTTCCATAGACCTGAAGTCTCTTAACCCATATCTCATTCCAGGAAGTATTACTGATACAACAAAGAGGGGGGGAACATGAGTGGAATCTCAATGCTAGATTCTGCTTGATTGCACCCTGCTGCTGTGCCCTGGGTGGCTAACCCATGCCAAGGGTTTGGAGCAGAGGAGGAGATACTTGTTTTTGGTTGAAGCTTGGGTTTGGTTCATGAATGGTTGTTGGGCCACTTGGCAAAGATGTATCTTCGTTTGGGACCATGAGTTGACAAGTGATCACCGGGTGTGACTGTGCTATTGTCTATAACTATAACTATATACAGAGTAAGGGGTGAAAATCTCTCTGTTCTTCTCTTGTGAGTAGCAGTATTCCAAAGATAAAGTCAGCAATGAACCATTGATTGCTGTCCTTAGAGCAATGTCTTAGAGGAAATTACATGGAGACATTCAAAATTATGAAGGGTTTTGATCGAGTAAACAGAAAGAAACCACTTCCACTGGTAACTAGAGAGCACAGACTGAAGATAATTTGCATAAGAACCAGAGGAATAATGAGGAGAATGCTTGAGTCCAGTGATTGTTTGGAATGTACTGCCTGAAGTGTTGTTGGAAACAAATCCAATTGTTCCTTTTAAATGAGAACTGGATAAATATTTGAAAAGGAGGGAATTACGGGGATAAGGGAATAAAGCAAGGGAGTGGGATCAATTTAATAGCTCAGTCAGAGAGCCAGCACAAGATGGGTTGATTAGCCTCCTTCTGTAACGTCAGATTCTGTGATTATTACTGTCAAATATATGATTGCTGAGAGATTTGGATGAATATTGAAGAGAAAGGAAAAAAAATGGTTGCAAAATGTAGAAGTTTGTTACCAAGATTAAAGAAAAGGCAGACAAACAATGAACTGAAGCAACTTTGTAAATGTTTGCATTGGAACAATGCGTGACCAGAAGACACAAATCTAACATGATTAACAAAAAATGGGGTGGTTGGCTGTAGGTTCATAAAACATGAGAAATAGCAATACAGGTTAATAAAACTAATTGCAAATTGCAAACAAAGCACTGGAGTTCATTTACAGAGGAATAGAATTGAAAAGCAGTGAAGTTGTTGCTAACCCTGCTGATGGTAATACTAGACAAGTTAGGACCCATAAGGAAACCTGGCTTGATAGATCATATGATTAATTTTTGAAATTGGTCAATGTGTTAGTTAGTCATTGAGACATTCACACAAGGCTACAAATCTGTTTAACAGCAGAACAGAGCTTATTAAGGAAAAAAAAGTCAAAACATGCAAAGCTATGTATATATAATGAATGAATTAGTTTTGTATGTAGCAAGACAGTTAGAAATATCTTAACACAGACATCAAAACAAAGTTCCAGCATGTTTTCCAACAACATCCATTACAGTCTCAATTCCAGATAAATTTCACTTCTATCTTACTTTTTAGTCACATAATTTGCCCCAGTTTCCTTTTCTTGAACTGTGGTGATAAATTTTACAATTCCTTTTTGATAAGAACCTTTCAAATTTTTTATGACCTAAATTTTATGAGTTTCAATAACTTGAAGATTTCTATCCAGACTCTCCTAGCTTAGAAGCTCCATAGACTAGAAACCATTTCTGCTGAAGAGATTGGTTTTCTTGAACTGACTTTGTTCTCCCACTAGGTGAAGCATCTCATCTGAATTAAAACTCCAGGTTCTCTGAACCAAAACTTTGAATTTCCTGTTCTGAAGTCAAAACTAAACTTAAAGTATTTAATTGCCTGTCATAAAACAGCAGTAGTAGAAAAAAATTATCCGTTTATATTACAGAGGTTCTCCCAGGAATCCAACTGCCTCACATGCATTCTTAGAACTGATGCACTTTCATATAACCTTCTGACTTGTTAAAAATAACTCACAGAACAGATCCTTGTTCATCTGCCTCTATTTTGAAATCCAAAGCCTAAAACATAATATATATTATATACCACTCATCGCATTATGTTAAACATGTACAAGTTCTAATTTAGATGGCACTGTGAAGAGTTCTGGTCTTCAGCAAACTAAAAAGAACCAATGTTTTGCTTAAACTCATTTCACTTGAACTCTCAATTTTCAGGAACATAACCAAAATTTTAACCGATGATTGCCTGTTGAGGTACTGGAGGAGGTCCAAATGAGAATTACAAAGGATAATACTAGAACTGAGATGGTGTAACAATCAGGATTAATGGAATGGACTGAGGCTTTTATCAGATAAAATGGCTGAGAGATGATTTAATAAAGGAAGTTAAAAGTTATGAAGGTGTTTGCTAGACTGTATTGACAGAAAATGTTCCCACTAGGAATACAAAACTAGGGTTCATAACTGTAAGATAGTGACTACTTAATCTGAAAAAAAATTGAGGAGAAACATCTTTAGTCAGAGTAGTGAGAATGATGAACTAGCTATTGCAAAGATAGATTGAAGTGAATAGCACTGATGCTAGGTAAAGAAAGGAGAAAAGAATAGAAAGTTTCTGCTGATAGATAGGAGGAGGAGGAGGAGTGGCGGAAAGCTTGTAGGGATCATAAGTGCTAGCATGGGCCAGTTGGGTTGAATGCCTGAGATGTAAATTCCACATGATTTTATATATCCAGAGGGGTGATGAAGCAAATTTGTTTCTAGTTGCCTCACGGGTTTTTCTAGTCTAGAATTTATGGTCTGAAATGGTATTGGAAGCAGCTTCAATCATAACTTTCAAAAGGCAATTTGATAAATTTGTGAAATAGGGAAATATGACAGAGCTCTGGGGAAAATCAGGGGTGGATTGCTATTTCTAAAATGTTCCAACTTTTTGATTTGCTTTCAGGAGATTTCGAGTAACCCGAAGTTTGTTATTGATGGAGCGTCGAGGACAGATATCTGCCAAGGAGACTTGGGTAAGGAGTTTTAATGAGTGAGTAACCACAAGGGGAGCTTACAAAAAAGATTTTGAAGTAGCAATGTGGATGGTGAGGTTGTCATCGACAGGCAAGAATTGGCCCCAACTCTCCACCAGTTGTGAACTGAACTTTTGAGCCAGCAGTATGGCGAGGGGAATGGAGGTGTTGAGTGGATGAGCATTTATTTGGCATTCACCTGATTTTTAAATGTCATAAATGTACATTCATCTACCACTTCCTCTGGCAGTTCATTCCATATATGCACCACCCTCTGTGTGAAAATGTTGCCCCTCAGGTTCCTTCTAAATCTTTCCCCTCTCATCTTAAACCTATGCCCTTTAGGTTTAAACTCCCCTGCTGTAGGGAAAAGATCTTTGCTATTCACCTTATCCATGCCACTCATAATTTTATAAACCTGTATAAAGTCACCCCTCAACCTCCTAAGCTCCAGGGGAAAAAAGTACTTTTGGATGTAGTCACTGGTGTAATGCATAGTAAATGCAGCAGCTAATATGTACACATCAAGAACAGGTGCATGAACAGGGAGAGGTTTACAGGGATATGGGCCAAACACAGGCAAATGGGACTAATTTAGTTTGGGAAACCTGGTCGGCATAGACATGTTGGACAGAAAGGTCTGTTTCCATGCTGTACGACTCTATGATCCCTTATTATTCTGTCCCTGTACTGCAGTCTGTTTCAAAGCTTCTGGTCAAGGTGGACTTTTTGGCAATGATGTCATGAGATGCCATTCCAGCAACTCTGGAGACAAAGTGCATCATTGACATTTAGTTTTGGTGGAGCAGAAACAGAGGGTTAATACCAGAGAGGCCAGAGTCTGACTCCTTGACTGTATTCAGTTTATATTGTGACCAATATAGAAACATACAGCCTATAAAAACAAGCTGGAGATAATCTTTCATACGGAATTATTAGGCAGGAAATCATTTGATCAACCAAACTTAACGCAGGCAATGATATCTGGAGCGGTCAGTATAATAGGTCATCAGCATCCAGAAACCTACACTTCAGTACAATGGCATGCCTGGTAACCTAGAGTAATTGACTAGGACACCAGGGACAATAGTTTTGAATAAGGTTGTGGGAGCTTTTATGTCCATCTGAGAGGGCAGACAGGACCTTCTCAATTTAGTGCCTCATCCAAAACACGGTGTCTCTGACAGATGCAGCAAACCCTTAAGTAGCACATTGGATATATGGATCAAAATCCTGGAACTCCCTGATGGGGATTTTGGGTGCACCTACATCAGATGAACTGCAGCGTTTCACGAAGGCAACTCACCTCTACCTTTTTTAAGGACTATAAGGCTGAACAATAAATACTGGCCCAGCCAGCAACTCTCACAAGGAAGAAACACAAAAAAAAAATCAGCTTGGATTGTGCAGCTCAAAACTCTGGAGTGGGACTTTAATGCACAAACTTAGAACTGCTGCTAACACATGAAGTTGTGGGAACTGAAAACAAAAAATACTGGAGATCACAATGGGTCAGACAGAATCCATGGAGAGAAAGCAAGCTAACATTTCGAGTCTGGATGACTCTTCACCAGAGCTCTAGGCTCGAAATGTTAGTTTGCTTTCTCTCCATGGATGCTGCCGGACCTGCTGCGATCTCCAGCATTTTTTTGATTTCAATACAGATTCCAGCATCTGCAGTAATTTGCTCCTACGTTACGGGAACTGCCTTACTGTTGGAACTAATGCCATGTACCAAACCAACATGTTCCTTTGTAGCCAAGAGTATTTCTGATGCTGACCTATGGTTGAGCTTGTTAACTCCTGTTTGCTTTCATTTACCAGGGGATTGCTGGTTTCTTGCTGCTGTTGCTTCACTGACTCTTAATCAGAAAATAATGTGCCAAGTTGTTCCTCTGGATCAGACCTTTGACAGTGATTACGCTGGAATCTTTCACTTTCGGGTATGACCCTTGACATTCTGAAGAACAGAACCATGGTCAACATTGATAATTACTCTTCTCCACAAATTATGCTAATAAGGATTTAGGCAGGAGACAAATCAGTTAGGGAGGAGGAAGGACAAGGGAATGCGTGGAGGAGGAGGAGAAAATGATGAAACGCAGACCAACATAAAACAAGAAATGGAAGCGGTTAGAGGGTCCAGGAGAACAAAAGGTGAAGAAGAGAGGACAAGGGATAGGATGAAGGAAAGCAGAGAGCTGAAAATGAAAGAAAAGTGAAAGGATAAAAAATAACTTGCAATTATTAATGCATTTCAAAGTTGTGTCAAGGCACTTTGTGGCTAATGAATTATTTTGAATTGTTGCCACCACTGGAATGCAATAAATGTAGTGGTTAGTTTATGCATAAACCTGCAAAAGCAATGAGCTAAGTACCAAATAATTTACCTCCAATTTTAACAAGGGAGAGGGCAAAGTGATACCACAAATTAGTGATGGCAAGGTTTCAAGAACTGAAATGGAATAGAACTAAGGAGAGTGAGAAAATTAGGTCAGCACAGAGACAGCACGAAAAGAATAATGGAGGGATGAAGAAGGGAGGAAGGAGGAGTGGAAGATTGGAAGGATGGATGAAAGTGAGGGGGATGAAGGATAGAAAAGGAGTAAAGGAGTGGAGGGAGTGGTGATGGACTGCAGGAGAAAAATAGAAAGAGGGTTGAAGGAGGGAGGAAGTGATGAAGGAGGGAAGGGAGTGATGAAGGAAGGAGAAGGGTTAACGAGGTTTAAAGGAGGGTGAGAGATGAAAAAAAAAAATTCTTTGCATCCATTATCTAAATTGTATGAACTCTGATTCCTGAACTTTCTGACATTAGAAATAGTTTCCCCTTATTTACTCTAACAAAACCCCTGATCATTTTCAACAACTCTTTTAAAGCTTTACTTACTTGTCTTTGCTCTAAGGAGAATGAGATCAGCTTTTCCAACTCCTCAGATACTGAAGAAGTCAATGTCTAAATGCAGCAAGACCTGCACAATATCCAGGCTTCGCTGATAAGTCGCAAGTAACGTTCGTGCCACACCAGTGATGACCTTCTCCGACAAGGCAGAATCCAACCATCTTCCCTTGATGATCAATAGGGGGAGGCAATGGCCTAGCGGCATTATTACTGGACTGTTAATCCAGAGACCTAGATAGTATCCCGGGGACCTGGGTTCAAATCCCGCCACAGCAGATGGGAAATTTGAATTCAATAAAATATCTGGAATTAAGAATCTAATGATGACCATGAATTGGTTGTTGGAAAAACCCATCTAGTTCACTAATGTCCTTTAGGGAAGGAAACTGCCATCAGCAATGTAGTTGACTCTGAACTGCCCTCTGGGCAATTAGGGATGGGCAATAAACACTGCCTAGCCAGTGATGCCCTCATCCTGTGAATGAATAAAGGGGAAAAAAAAGAAATAACATTTCCCTACTTGAATCTCTGCCACAATCAACATCCTGGGGATCACCATTGATTGGAAACTCAACTGTCTAGCCATATAAATACTGTAGCTACAAAGGCAGTTCAGTAGCTGGAAATTCTGTGGTAAATAACTCATCTCCTGTCTCCCTAAAGGCTGAACATCTACAAGACACAACTCAAAAACCTGATGAGATACTCTCCATTGTTTGGTCAAGTGCAGATCTAATAACACTCCAGAGCCCAACACCATCTGGGAGATTGCAGTGCGCTTGATCAATATACCATCCACCAATCTGAACATTTACTCCCTGCACAACTGATGCACGGTGACAGCATTTTGAATCAAATGCAAGATGCACTATAGCAAAAGAATAAGGCTCATTAGACAGCATTTTCCAAACCTGTAACTTCTACCACCCAGAAAGACAAAGACAGTGGACAGATGGGAGCACCACCACTGCAAGCTTCCTTCCAAGCCACACATCATCTTGATTTAGAAATATATCACTGTTCCTTCGCTGTCGTAGGGTCACAATGCTGGAACTCCTTTCCTAACAGCACCTACACCACATAGATTTCAGGAAGGTGGCTCACCAATGCCCACATTCTGTGAAAAAATAAAGGAAAATCTCCACCTTATTGAAATCCTCTGTATCATGTTGACTTGAGTGAAGCTATTAACTGAATTTTATTTTCTGAGTCTATTATACTACATTATATCATGAATAATATTTTTCTAATTTCCCCTAGTTTTGGCAATATAATGAGTGGGTGGATATTATAATTGACGACCGTTTGCCAACCTTTAGAAACCGTCTGGTATTTCTACACTCTGCCAGTAATGACGAGTTCTGGAGTGCCTTGCTGGAAAAGGCCTATGCTAAGTGAGTACAAACACTATCATTGTCTATAATCTGTTAATGTAGATTATAATATATCTGTATTCTTTTTACCCTCGACACTCCTCCTTGGCCTCTGAGATTTCAAAGTTTTGCAAAGATAATTTGGATTATTTATTCTTGGGATGCGGGCATTGTTGGCTAGGTCAAAATTTAATACCCAGCCCCTCATTTCCTGAAGAGCTGGTGGTGGACCCTTCCATCGGTGCGTAAGAGAAAAACAAAATTAGGCCTTTGCCAACTCTGGCCACATTCCTGGAGGACTCTTGACCAGACATCTCACCTCTAATCTGGTCAAATAACCTATTTCCCCCTCCCATTTCCAAATATCTCAGAATAAATAAACTACAATATTAAGTAAAAACCGAAAGAACTGCGGATGCTGTAAATCAGGAACAAAAACAAAGTTGCTGGAAAAGCCCAGCAGGTCTGGCAGCATCTGTGAATGAAAAAACAGAGTTAACGTTTCAGATCAGTTCTGAGGAAGGATCACCAGACCTGAAACGTTAACTCATTTTTCCTTCACAGATGCTGCCAGATCTGCTGGGCTTTTCCAGCAACTTTGTTTTTGTTCCTAAAATATTAAGGAACAATTTTGTCCCCCTCTGGATTTCTCCTCTTGCTTTCTGGTAACAGTACCCTGGAGATTAATCTTTAATTTCTGGTTGGCAACATTAAACCACTTTAGTAGTGGAACTGGCGTCACATATGGTATGAGGTATCAGAAAAGTAGTTTTTTAAGACAACTTGACAGCTCCACAGTCTCTTTTATTAATACCAGCTTTTTGTGTTTGGATATTTTTAAACTGTGTTAAAATTTTTCAAAATGCTATGGTGAAATACTGAACTCACATTCTCTGGCTTATCAGTTCAATAACATATACAAAACCTACCAGAGATTTCCTCCTTTTCCTAGTGTGATTTTCCCCTGTAGCTTTTGTCAAGTTATCATTTTCTTTGAAATGACCCAAGTGCTTGCTGTCAGCCAACTGAATGTTCTCTGGAATCAGTGGACTAATTTCTTTAATGAAAACTGTCAGAGACATTGTTCTCAGTGTCGTCTGTGTCTCAGTGGGTTGCATGTTTCACCTCTAACATCCCACTCTAGAGACCTGAGCATACAATCAGGTTTACTGTGCAGCATTGAAGGGAGTGCTGCATCGTCCCTGGTGGTGCTTTCCAACTGTGATCCCATTTTATGGCTTGAAACTGTTCACAGCCCCTGAGCGAGAACTGTAAGACCAGGGAGTGAGTGGGAGCGATGCAAACAGGAGGCCAGGCAACACACAATTTTAAAAACCCACCTGTTCGCTGCTTTATTTGGAGCAGGAAATGGACATCAAACATCATTCAGGTGGATCATGCCCACCATTAAAAACAGAGAGGAATTAAAAGGAACACACAGCTGTTAACATGAGGTCTAAGTTCCACAGCAGCAGTGGCTACCTTAGATGTCACGACCCTAGAATTTTGTTTCGTGACCCACAGCTCGGCAAGTCCTGGTGCTGTTTTCTTTAGATGAGATTTTAAACTGAAGCCCTGTTTTCCCCCTCAGTAAATGAAAAAGATCCCATGATACTTTCTGAAGAAAAGCAACGGAGCTCTCCCCACTGTATTCGCAAATATCGATCTATCAGTCAACGCCATAAAGTACATTTGCTGATCAACAACACATTCCTGTCTGTGGGAGATGGCTGTGTGCAAGTTAGCTGCCATGTTTCCTACATCACAACAGTGACTGCGCATCAAAAGTATTTGAGCAGCTTTTATGTACTTCGGGATATCCTGAAGTTGTACAAGACACTAGAAGCTTTCCTAAATAAGAGAGATAATGAAACTGCTAAATTGTAGTGACTGGTGTTTCTATCAGGCAGAAGAACAAGAGGTCCTTTATCTCACCAGAGTCTGTTCAACTGACTGGATGAAGGATAAAGGTTCTAACATTAATATTCCTGATATCAGCGCAAAAGCTGAGCAGACTGGATTACATTTTCACTAACAGAATGAGCAAAGCAGACACATTCAGAGATAGTAAGAACTGCCGATGCTGGAGTCTGAGATAACACAGTGTGGAGCTGGAGGAACACAGCAGGCCAGGCAGCATCAGAGGAGCAGGAAAGTTGACATTTCGGGTTGGGACCCTTCTTCAGAAAATTGATGTTAATCTATCTTTGTGTGTTTAACAGGCTATATGGCAGCTATGAATCACTAAAAGGGGGAAGCACATTAGAGGCCATGGAAGACTTTACAGGTGGCATGGGAGAGACATTCAATTTGAAAGAGGCACCCCCAAATCTGTATAGCCTCATTCAAAAGGCATTGAAACGGGGCAGTATGTTGGGATGTTCCATTGATGTAAGTATTCAAAATCGTATGTAACGATTTCCATTCCAAGGGATTTTACAATGTAGTCCATATTTAAACTTGCACATTTCAAATGGGGCCAGGAGTGTGACTTATTTGCCCTAACTATTGTTGCTGATTCCAAAGGTGTTACTCACCCAGCGGGTTTGCTGTTCAGATTTGTTTCAGCAGAGATGAGTGTTCATTCAAACTTGTTTTGGAAAGATGGAGTGGTGAATTTGTGAAGATGTTGGAATTTTCTTATGTTTAATAACTTCAGGGGAGGGCAAAAACGATCAATTGTATTAGTGTCAAAGGACTCACTACACATGGTGGGACCTGTAAATTGTTAAAAATCATAACAGACAGTATGTATCTTTTCATTTTGAAGATTACAAGTGCAGCTGAAACAGAAGCTCGCACCACGACAGGACTTGTGAAAGGACATGCATATTCTATTACTGGTTTGGATGAGGTGAGCTCTCTGCTTTGAGCTTGTACTTCCTGTCTGTTGTGCTGATAGATTCTAATCACTGTGTATTCTTTCCTTTCTGAAATACACTATTTCCTCCTTAGGCTTGTGGGCTTCGGACAGCTTGCCTCAGTGATGATTCTTCAAGTGTCAGTTTTGGCTTTGAGTATTAGTGGGCTCATTTCAACCAAGATGCACACTTTAGCTGAGCTCATGCCTGTGTTTGGCTGGTGCCTTGCACTCATCTATTTCCAGCAAGGATAGCTGTGAGGGGAGGGCAAGCCCCATACCAAAGGCTAGTTTGGTATTGAGGCCAAATGCAACATTCATGCCCCTAGCCCAGGTAAAATCCAAACTGACTGAACACAAACCTCAGGATGGAATTGGACACCTTCCTGAATAGTGTAGGTCAGCTTTGGTGATGGAACATGAAGAGCTAAATGTAAGTTCGGAACATTTTATCTCAGGGGTGGGAAAGCATTTCAGCCTGAAGGCCACGTGTGGCAATGGAGATTATACGGAAGACCATTAAACTCTTGGACACATTTTAAAAGAGTTGCCACCGAGGCCATTTGACTTGTAAGTCAGTCAAAGAACACCTTCCTAGTTTTCAATTTTTCTCAAAATACTAAGCGCTACAAGCTCTTTTATTACACTCATCATCCTTCTATTAAAGATCTAAACTTTAGCTGAATTTCTGGTGGAAACAGAAGATGTTTATCCAACGTTAATGATCAGAAATGTATCTACAACTAATCATTAAGATGGCCAACTCAAAATGTTAAAAAAATTGATGACGCCCATTACATCACTTCATTACATAACAGCCAAAACAGCATTTGATATTCTGATCTAATTAACTATCTGAACTTATAGATGTGTTGAAGTTAGCTGCCAAGATAGGTATTTAATTACTTGAGTTTTGGAAAATACTGGCAGATACCTAATACTGCAGTATTTTTATATGGATCTCCAATGATATTATTTTAGAGCCTAATATTTCATGCTAATTGGTTTTTTAAACATATTTCACATTGAAGTTTTCAAACAAATTTACATTACCTTTCCAAAAGGCCCATTTATGCATCATCATCAAGCTGAACCAGGCTTTGATTGTTGAGGCTAGAAATGAGGTATCTGTAAACATGTTCCCTCACAAGTCATTTCTAATTTGATCAGATTAAGCGATCTTATAACGTAGGCCATTACATCCAGTGCAGTCTTCAATCAACTGCATGTCAACAATATGACCTTTCCCCGAGCAACTATTGTCTACAAGTTGTACCAAGACAGAGAGTTAACTTGTACATTGTGTAGCTCTCAATCCTCCTCCACATGTGCCCCCTCAATCCCTCATATGGCAGCCCTACTCCTCAAGAAAAGTCTGTTCCTGTGGTGAATTATTCATAAAACTCTCGGAAAGGCCAGGTCAGAATTTAGTACGTTATAGCTTGAAAACTAAGTGTGAAACATATTATAGCGGATAATGGATACTCTCTACCAATTCCTGTCAAGCTAATCATGAGGGGGTCTAACAGACCATCACAATGCAATGAATAAGCAATGAATGAGCAGATATTCCTCCTTCTCTTCTAATATCTCAATGATTGAAATTCATCCCTCTGTAGGGCTAGAGGGGAATTACTATTATACTATAATTCTGGCATTAATGACTCCAACAATGCCTCTGCATCTCTTTTACCTGTGCCAGTCTGCATTGTATATTGAAGTCCAAACAATTGACTTGTATTCATCAGTATGACTGCTGTTCATCAACTTTGCCAGGTCAGACTGTGACAGCTTATTTACGTTGAGCAACTCTCAGTGCTTCTACACATGCACTGATGCTCTCTCACATGGTGGTGGCATTCCTCAAGAAACCTCCACTTTCCTGGCCACGAATTGTTGGAAAACCTATCTGAAACTACTTTCTGTGGTCACTGGATGACCTGATCTGACCTGACCAAAAGCTCCCATGGGCTTGACATGGCCTGGAGCCATAGCCTGATATATCGAGTGATTTTAAGGAAATAACATTTTGTGCATGCAGTTATATCTGCATCAACCTCATGTCCCCCAGTCTCCTACCTAGAGCCCCAGGACCTCAAATTGAATCAAAGAGGCTAATGCTTATGAACTTCTGAGGAAGGGTCACCAGACCTGAAACGTTAACTCTGCTTTTTCCTTCACTGATGCTGCCAGACCTGCTGAGCTTTTCCTGCAACTTTGTTTTTGTTGTTGATGTTTATGAACCTTATCTCAAGCTGAACTCCCATCCAGGCATGTTAGATCAATCTTTCTGGAGGCTATTGTGGCAGATTATGAATATAGATTGCTGTCTTTTCTCATATTCTGTTTTCTTTTGAAGGTGAACTCCAGAGGCCAACGAGTGCAGCTCATCCGTGTCAGAAATCCCTGGGGTCAAGTGGAATGGAATGGACCATGGAGTGACAAGTAGGTGATGGAAAAACCGTAGAGTAGAACAAGAGCAATCATATCAACACAACACAATCCTATATATCACAGATTTATTGGGGTTTTAAATGCTGAAATTTTAAGATTATGTAGAATTCAAAACTCACAAACTAGCCATTTGGTCCATTGACTGCAGGATTGTGTTGTATTGTGTTATATAAATATAATGCTTCATATTCCTATATTGGGTTGAAAAGCCCATAATGAGTATTTGTTTAATACATCTGAGCAAGGCCAGAGCGCAGGGAAAATCCAAATCTAGCTTGGTGAATTTGGATATGGGCAAAAAACTGTGCCTATGAATGTGTACTGGATTGCAGTTTTCAGAATCTCAGTGGAGAATATCAGAACTGGAGCAGTTGTTGAGGCAGTCCAGAAGGGCAGGGTTCTTGAGAGGCAATTTAAAGGACAAATGAGCAATAGTGAAGAATTGTATTCCCTTGTGTGGTTGAATGAGATTTGATGACCCACTATGTCATTAACATGTGGGGGTTACTGAGAAATGTGAGATCTGTTCTGATCACATTTGCTATTTGATGTGTGGGGGTTACTGAGAAATGTGAGATCTGTTCTGATCACATCTGCTATTTGATGTGTGTTGTATGGCATTTGATGACGTTTTTTACCCATGTGTACCGCATGTTAATTCTGGGCGTTAGAAATAAATTGTACATGTATTGTAGATTCTATTACTGTTCTAATTTGTGTCATAAAGTCTTGGTGTTTGTTCAAAACTGTAGAATCCTGTGGCTTTATTCTCTTTGTGAGTCCCCCAGATCTCACCTTTTGTCTACTTCAAACTAAAAAGTTATCCGTCCCCAACAAGATCATAACATAAAGTTGGCAATCTAGTCTGTGATCACAATAGCACTCCACTATACAGCCTTGGGATGGTTAGAAATAAGGTGAGACTGTAGCTAACTTCCCTTCCCTGTTTTGCAGCTCTCCTGAATGGAAGACAGTGGATGCAAGTGATTATCGGAGGCTGAACAATATTGCCAAAGATGATGGCGAGTTTTGGTAAGGTATTGCTAATGTATAAGAAACTGTTTGAATTTCCTTTATCTTTTTGAAGATTGGAAATTGTCTGATGTGTTCGTGTCACATCCGGTGGTATATTTTGTCAATTTTATTATTAGAATTCATCAACATATACCCATTCCATGTAGATCTCATAATTTCATGCAATTAGATCTCCACTCAGCTTCCTTAGTTTCAAGAAAATAATTCTAACCTGTCCAGTCTTTCCTCATAACTGCAGTTCATCCGTAACATCCTTCAGTGGATGTCCCCAATGCAATCACATCTTTAGTACACTTGCCTTCATTGCTCAGATCTTCGAGTACAGGAGTTGGGACGTAATGTTATACAGAACATTGGTAAGGCCTCTTCTGGACTATTGTGTCCAGTTCGGGTCACCCTGTTGTAAGAAAGATGTTATTAAGTTGGAGACATTTCAGAAAAAAATTACCTGCATATTGCCAGGACTAGAGGGTTTGAGTTATAAGGAAAGGCTTATAAGGAAAGACTTTTTCCACTGGACCGTAGAAGGTTGATGGGTGACCTTATAGAGGTTTATAAAATTATGAGGGGCATGGATAAGGTGAATGGCAGGTGTCTTTTCCCTAGGGTGGGGGATTCCATGACAAGGGGGCATAAGGTGAGAGGAAAAATATTTAAAAAAAGACATGAGGGGCAACTTTTTTATACAAAAAATAGTTCGTGTGTGGAATGAACTTCCAGAGGAAGTGGTGGATGGGGTAAAGTTACAACATTTAAAAGACATATAGATAAGTACATAAATAACAAATGTTTGGAGGGATGTGGGGCAAGCGCAGGCAGGTGGGACAGTTTAGTTTGGGATTACAGTCGGCATGGACTGGTTGGACCGAAGGGTCTGTTTCCATGCAGTATCATTCAATGACTCTATAACTATGACCAGAACTGCATGGAGTACTCTAACTCTAGGACTAAACTTGAAAATCGTTACACTTTTGAGTAACTCTTTACTTACAGATATATATATTATTCATAGAGGCAGTACTAGGGTTTACTGATCTAATTCCTGGGATGGAGGGATTGTTCTATAAGGAAAGATTAAGTAAACTGGAATTTAATTCTCTGGAATTTAGAAGAATGAAAAGTGACCTCATTCGAATGTATAAAAATTCTTACAGGCATTGACAAAGTCAACGAAGGAAAAATGTTTCCCTTATCTGGAGGGTGGGGTGGGGTGGAGGTGGGAACTACCTAGAACCAGGAAACACAGCTTCAGAATAAAGGGCAGGTCAGCTTGGACTGAGGTGAGAAGGAACCTGGTGAATTTTTTGAACTCAATGTTCCTGAGAGCTACGGAAGCTCAGTTGTTGAGAATGTTCATGCAGAAATCGATAAGATTTCTAGATGTTAAAACCATCAATGGATATAGGGATAATGCAGGAAAATGGTATTGAAGTAGAAGATCAGTTATGAGCTCATTGAATGGTGGAACAGGCTTGAAGGGCTGAAGGGCCTACTCCTATTCCTATTTCTTCAAGGAAACCTATGTTGAATTCATACAAGACATCCATGTAACTCTGTTGGACTTCTGGTCACATCATTATAGGAAGCTTATGGCAGCAATGGAAAGGGGACAGCAGAATTTCATTAGGCCATTAGCAGGAAAGTGAGTGGAATAAAGAAGGTTAAGGGAGAATCAGTACAGATTTTCATAATTCTGAAATTTTCCGATGATAAATAGCAATATGATGCTCTCATTGGTTGGTATGTTGGCAACAAGAGGACATAAGCTGAGGACTAATGATGAAATAAATTAGAAGAATATTTTCACCTTGCAGACCAATAGAACAACAACAACAACCTGCATTTATATAGCACATTTAACTAAGTAAAACCTTCCAGAGTGCTTCTTAGGGGTGTCGTCAGGTGAAATTTGACACTGGGCCACAGGAGGAGATATTAGAATACATGATCAAAATTGTGCTCAAGGAGGTTGTAAGCTTTAAGGAGGTGAGTGGGGTAGTGAGGCAGAGAATTCTAGAGTGAAATTTTCAGGGCTTAGGCCAGAGACTGCTGAAGGCACAGGTGGAAATTGTGGATGCACAAAAAAATGAGAATCAGCAGAGTCCAGAGTTAAGAATGACCTATAACTGTTGAGGCAGAGTCTACTAATAGGGAATTTCATAGAAATATAGAAGATAGGAGCAGGAGGAGGCCATTCAGCCCTTCGAGCCTGCTCTGCCATTCTTCACGATCATGGCTGATCATCCAGTTCAATAGCCTAATCCTGCTTTCTCCCCATAACCTTTGATCCCATTTGCCCCAAGTGCTATATCTAGCCGCTGCTTGAATACATTCAATGTTTTAGCATCAACTACTTCCTGTGGTAATGAATTCCACAGGCTCACCACTCTCTGGGTGAAGAAATGTCTCCTCATCGCCGTCCTAAATCGTCTAAATCGTCTGATATGGCATTTGAAAAGAAAGACTGTAGAACAGGGAAGTCAGGACAGAGTAGGCCTATGGGAAATGAGAAGGCTTGCTGAATGCTCCCAGGAGTAGTTCCAAAACACTAGCTAATCCATACTGTCCCTTTTCCCATGACAGCCCCCAAGTTCCACATCCTTTGAGCTAAGCCCTTAGAGTGAAATATTGGATGAGAGTAGAAAGCTGCATACAGAGGCACCATAGGCTAAACAAGCTCCTGTTGTGTTGCAATTTCTACGGTCCTTGTTTTACAGACCTCCTATTAATGTGTGTGACTGAAATATTTATTGCATCAACCTCCAAGATTCCTATATCTTGATGTGCACTTTCGTGATATCATCCAGATAATTTGGTAACTTCTGTTGCAAGAATTACACCAGCGAGGATAGTTTAAACAGCTCTCTTCTAATATTCTCATGCTTTAACATACTATTTTTCGAGTGCAGCAATGATTTCACAGCCCTATGAAGGGGCTATCTAATTAATGCCACTCCTCCTGTTCTATCCCAAAGCCTTAATTTTATTTTTAATATTTACCAATTATTTTTAGAAATTTCTATTGAATCTGCTTCCAGTCAATGCATTCCAAGCAATATTGAGTCACTTATACTTGCATTTTCTCCCATTTTTTATAGGATGTCATTTGAAGATTTTAAGAGACATTACGATAAAGTGGAAGTCTGTAATCTTACTCCGGACTCCCTGGATGAGGATGCTTTACACAAATGGGAAGTGACTGTTTTCGAAGGGTCTTGGACAAAAGGCTGTACAGCTGGAGGCTGCAGGAATTTCTTAGGTACTTGAAACTTACAAAAAGCTGCAGTAGGTGAAGACAATTTCATCAAGTATACATCAGCACTTCTCCCACCCCTCTTCAACTCATCCTATCGGCTTACCTTCCTCTTTCTTTTTCCCTCTTCTGTTTATTTTGCTTCCCCTTAAATATATCCACGCTATGTGCCTCAGTTCTCCCTGTGATATTGTTTTTCACATTCAAGACAATGAAGATTCCTCATCTCCAGCTGGAAAAGTTTGGCAATCTTTGCTTTTCTATGTGACTTAAATCAATGCATGGTTGAAGGATAAAAGACATTTTATTTGTGCCATTGTCTGTAGGTTTACCTTCAGGAAGGTGGTGTTGTGGTGGTAATGCCACTAGGCTGGTAATTCCAGAATACCAGGCTAATGTTCTGGGGGGCTGAGTTTGAATTCCACTGTAGCAGATGGTGAAATTTGAATTCGATAAAAACTGGAATTAAGATCTAACCTAAATATAACCATTGCCATGAAATCTATCTGGTTCACTGGCGTCCTTTTGGAAAGAGAATCTGCCATCCTTATCCCATCTACATGTGACTTAGACCTACAGCAGAGTGGCTGACTCTTAATTGCCCTTGGACATGGTGAGAGAGAGAGATTCTGGTGCATCAGCTCAAAGGGAGCTAAAGATTCTAACTTATGAGATGCTGCGTTCTTCCCCTTAATTTGATTATCTTTCACAAACAAGCAAATCTAGGACAGTTCTGTTCTGAAGAAAGGTCACTGGACCTGAAACATTAACTATGACTTCTCTCCATAGATGCTGCCAGACCTGCTGTGTTTTTCCAGCAATTTCTATTTTCATTAAAACTAGGACAGTATCTAGTTCTTACTGACTTTTAACTTTCTTCCATAACTTACGATCCTGAAGTATCAGATTGTTGAACGCACATATGTCTGTGCCAACATCCTGTTTTATTATTCTCCAATGTTATCTCAGTATCTTTGTCCTTAAGACCATAAGAAATGGGAACAGGAGTAGGTTGTTTGGCCTCTTGACTTCCAACTTCCATCATGTCCACTTTCCTGCACTTTTCCCAAAATCCTTGATTCCCACACTGATCAAGAAACTGTCTATCTCAACCTTAAATATACACAAGGACTTTGCCCACACAGTCTCCATGGCATGGAGCTCCAAAGACCCTCAAACCACTGAAAGGAGAAATTCCTCCTCATCTCAGTCTTAAATTGTCACCCCTTTATTGTGAGACTATGCCCTCTGATCCTAGATTCTCCCATGAGGGGAAATATCCTCTCAGCATTTACCCTATCAAGCCCGTTAAGAATCTTATATGTTTTAATGAGATCACCCAGCATTTTTCGAATCTCGAGTGAGTAGCATTCCAACCTGTTTAGCCTCTTGCTCATAAGACAATTCCCTCATTCTGGGGGTCATCCTAATGTACCTTCTCTGAACTGCCTCCAAAGAAATAATATATTTCCTTAAATAAGGGGACCAAAACTCCTCAGATGTGGCCTCAGCAGCACCTTCTACGGTAGCAGTAAGACTTCCCTACTCTTATACTGCAACCCCCTTGAAATAAGGGCTGATGTTCCATTAGCCTTCCCGATACCCTGCTGCAGAAGGATGTTAGCTTTCTGTATTTGATGCACAACTTCCTTTGTGTTGCAGATTTCTGTAGTTTTTCTCCATTTAAATAATATTCTGTTCTTTTGTTCTCCCTTCCAAAATGACCAACTTTGCATTTTCCCACATTTTACTCCAATTGCCAACTTTTTGTCTATTTACCAACCTATCATTATTTTTCTGTAAGCTGGTTGTATCCCTCTCACAAACTGCCTTTTCACCTATTTTTGTGTCGTCTGCAAATTTGGCTACAATACATTCACTTCCTTCCTACAAGTCATTAATATACATTGTTATCAGTTGTGGTCCCAGCACTGATCCCTGGAACTCTACTGATCACAGGTTGCCAATTTGAAAAAGAACCCCTTTTTCCCATTTGCTCTTTCCTCCCAATTCTCTGTCCAAGCTAATATACTTTCTTCAACACTGTGGGCTGTTATCTTATGACTTAACTTTTTGTGAGGTACAGTATCAAATGCCTTCTGAAAGTCCAAGTACAACAGATCTACTGATTCCCTTCTATCCACTCTAAAAAGACTTCCTTGAAAAATGAATGAATTTCAAGAAGCTATGCTGACTCTACTTAATTAGGTTATGATTTTACAAATGTTCTGTTATTATTTCCTTGATAATTGATTCCAATGCTTTTCAAACAATAGATATTAGGCTATTGTTACCTGCTTTTTGCCTCCCTTTTTTGAATAGGTGGTCACATTGACAGTTTTCCGAACTCTGGTACTTCTCCAGAAAGCAATGATTCATGGAAAATTACAACTAATGCATCTAATGTCTCTGTAGCTACTTCTTTTAGATCCTAGGATGTGAGCCATCAGGACCAAGGGACTTAGCTGCTTTTAGCCCTGTTAATTTGTCTAATACTATTTCTCTAGCGATTGTGATGGCACTTAATTCCTGCCCTGTATTTTCTAGAATTAATGGCATGTTTGAAGTATCTTCCATTGTACAGACTGATGCAAAATATCAGTTTAGCTGCTCCAACCTTTCCTTGTTCCCAAAATCTGTCTTCCCAGATTCATTTTCTAAGGAGCCTATGTTCATTTTGACATCTGTCTTCCTTTTTATATATTTAAAGAAGCTGTCATTGTCAACTTTTATATTCTTTGTTAGTTTACTTTCTCTGTCTTTATTATCTTTTTTGTTCTCCTTTGCTGGATTCTGAATTTATCCCAGTCTTTAGGCCAATGCTGACTTTTGCTTCCTTATATGCTTTTTCTTTCAAATTAATATCTGCTTAACTTCCTTGGATAACCATGGATAGTTTATCCCCATCTTAGAATCTTTCCTCCTTAATATATTTTTGCTGAGTCTTGAATTACTTCCTTAAATGTCAACCACCACTTGCTTATTGTCATTCCTGCTAATTATCTACCCAGTGCGCTTCAGCTAACTCTATCCTCATCCTATTGTCATTCCCTTTATTTAAGTTAAACCACAGTTGTTTCTGACCCAAGTTTCTCATTCTAGAACTGAATATTAAATTCTATCATATTATGATCACTATTCTCTAGGGATCCTTTATTCTGAGGTCACTTATTAAAACTACTTCATTACCCATTACCAGATCTAAGATAGCTTGTGCCTTGATTGACTCCATGATATATAAGCTCTGGGAAACTATCCCTAATGCACTCTATGAATTTGTTGTCATAGATACCCTTTCCAATTTGATTAATCTAATCAACATGAAGATTAATGTCACCGATAATAATTGCTTTGTTCATTTTACACGTTCTTGTTATTTGTTTATTATCACCTTACCATAAAGTAGTCTGTACACTAGTCCTACCATTGTCTTTGTTCCCTTGCTTTTTTTTTTACTTCCATCCAATCAACTCTGTATCATCTGAGCCTTGATAGTATCTCACAACTTTCCTTGTTTCATCTCTTATTAATAGTACTACGCCACCACCTTTTCCATCCTTCCTGTCTCTTTGAAAGGTCAAATTTCCCTGAATATTAAGTTCCCAGTTTTGATCTCTTTGTAGCAATGTTTCCATAATCGCTTTGGAGATCATGTTCATTTACCTGTCAGTTCGTCTACCTTATTCTAAATGATCCATGCTTTAAGTTACAAAGCTTTTAAGTTTGTCTATTATCAAATTTCCCTACACATTTATGTACAATGTCCTTGGTACAATATGACATTCACACATCTGTCCCTGCCTTTAATTTTCAGGTAATAATCAGCCCTGTCACTAACCTGCAATCCCACATTCTCCTTTACCTTTGATTTTCTAATTTTCCATGCAACTGAACCTAGCCTCCACTATCTAGCTTAAAGACCTATCTATAGCCCTAGTTATGTGAAGTGTTTCATTGATAATCTGGAGGGGTAACATTACTTCACACAGGCTAACTCTTTGTTGAGACCCATGCTCGATGCAGAATGGTGCTCTCTCTCTCCCACCCTCTCTCTAGCCAGGATAGATGCCTATGGTTTCTCCAATACCATGGCTACTTGCCTTACACCTGGAAATACATATGCCTGATTGTCTTTGCAATGCACTTATTAATTCACTTATTTTTTATGACCTCAGACTGCTTCCTGTAGGAAAATCCCTCTCAAAATGCCTGTGTGCATTTGCAAAATGCCTCTTGACATTGCTGTTTCTTTTTCTGACTGTAGCTGTGACTACAAATTAAACAGACTTTTCTTTCGTACGATCAAACTAAAAATCATTCTCCAACCCTTCATGGATACTATGAGTTTTTACCTTTTCTTGGCTGAATTTGCCTCTACATTCATGATTTTAATAAGGGTAGATTATTTTTCCAGCTGCGATTTGGTGCCTATGAGACAAACTTACTGTGTTATAGCAATGGTACACTAATGACGGAGCTGGTAAACTAGTTGAGTCTTTCTTGTGTCAATTAATACCTTCCATTCAATTTTCTGCCCACACTGCTTTGCAGTCCGTTGTTCGGGGCCCTCAGGGTAACCCTTGCCTCTTGGCGCTTCCTGTCTGCCAGTTGCTTCAGTGCCTGCGTTGACTCCTTGCTGCTTTCCAGACTGCATGAACCCACTCTGGGACTCTCCGCACCCTGGGTTCCCTTGGAAATCTTTCTCAGGTTTCTGTTTCTGGCAGTGGTTCTGCCCATTAGACTTCTTCTTCCTGCCTGGGGTTCTCCTCTTGCTGCCACTGCTGCTGGTGGTGATGGCTGTTCTCTAGGTGATGGTGGTCACAGGTTCGAAAGAAACTTGTGAAAGAACATTTACAAGTTTCTGTAGTGCCTCTGTAGATGATGTATGTTGCTGCTCTCTGTTGCCAGCCCTAGGGTTTGGTGTTGGGGTTGGCAGCAATCAGTTCTGGCAATCTAGTTAGCTAGCTTGTGGCAGGAAATCAATTCTGCGATTTGAATTCTGTCATCTATTGGTTATTTTCAAATCTTAATGTGTGCTACTCATAGCTAGCTATCAGTTGATATGTTAGTAACTCCTGCCTTAAACACTACTTAATCTAAACTATATTTTAAACAAACTTGTTACAAACAAACAAACATAACTGACTGTGCAGTGCCTTGGGATATTCTGAGATTGTGAAAAGCACTATGTAAATACAAGGTTATTCTTCCTTCATAAACAGGAGGAGGCACTAAAACTACATGATTCTGCCCTTGTATTAGTTAAAACATGCAATAGTTTGGAAATTGTTTACCAAAGAACAAATTTGGAAGTTTTAATGTACTATGACTGTTTGTGTGCAGACACTTTCTGGATCAATCCACAATATAAAGTAAAGCTACTGGAAGCTGATGAACAGCAAGATGATGGCAAAGATGAATGTACAATTATGGTTGCTCTCATGCAAAAAAATAGACGCAAACTACGGAAAGAAGGAGCTGATTTGCTGACCATTGGGTTTGCTGTTTATGAGGTATGTTGCATGTTTTAATTCTGATTTATAAATACAAAGTCATAGAATTCAGAAATCTTAAACAAGAAACTCAATTATTTTTCAGTTAGTCCAATGTTAAATATTAAAGGGTGAATGTAGCAAAATTTGTACGAGTCTCCCGATTCAGAATTGAATGCACAATATTCTGATATTGAGCCGAGGGTGCTACGTGAACAGTGCTGTCTCTTATACTGGATTCAATCAAGATGTTTGGGTACCAGAAGATGGGCTTCAATGGGAAATTGGGTGCTAGACTGATGAGCTTCATTAGGAGAGCTAGGGAATTAGTAGGATGAACTTTAAGGTGATGGATAGGGCATTGAAATGATGGATTTCAATCAGACATTTGAGGTACTAGAAGGTTGGACTTCAGTGGCATGATTAGAGTACTATAAGAGGGAGTTAAATGGAACATTTGAGGTAATAGAGGATTCAGCTTTAAAGTAGACTTAGGATATTAGAAGAATGGGCCTCATTTGATTATATATTATTTTCTCCATGATATTTGTCATGGCTGTGCAATGAGTACTGTATTGCTATGATGGGGCTGAAGGACAAAATTTGTTTTTCAGGCTGAAAGTGGCGTTGATCATCTGCCGAAAGAGTTCTTCCGATTTCATGCTTCAAAAGCAAAAAGTGACACATACATTAACATACGGGAGAACTCCAAAAGGTTTAAACTTCCACCAGGAGACTATGTTATTGTTCCTACAACTTTTCAACCGGAAGAAGAGGCTGATTTTCTCATTCGGCTTTTTTCAGAGAAGAAAGCTAAGTCCCTGTAAGAAGAAAAGCAAGTTGCTGTTGATTTTGAATCATACAGGAGAAAGTCATTCGGTCAAATGTGTCTGTCACAGCTATAGTCAATTTGTTCCATGCATTTTGTTGCCTGCATTTTTTTCCAAGTATTTATCCAATTTTCTTCTAATTGTTGTTGTTGCATTTGTTTCCATTTCCTGCTTAGGCCAATGGAAAAACTGCATGGAGAAAAGTTCTCCACTTAGTTCATAACTTGCAAGTCAAATATTATTTCCCCTTCCATCCAAGCATCACCATCCACCCCTCCAACTCTCATAAACCTCGTAACTAACTGCCCTCTTTATCACTAACCATCCCTCCAACTACCCCTCTAACCATCAACATCACTCCCAACTGTCTTCTATTCATCAACCATCCAACTGTAGGCCAGTTTACACTATCATCTCCCTTACAGTGTTCACATTTGTGACATTTAATGCAAAGTGGTTATGTACTTGGTAATACTTATCTTTTATCTGCAGCGAAATGGGGGATAAAGTTGGTGCTGATCTACCGGAGGTGAGTGTTTTAAATTTCACTTTGGAGTAAAGTGTTCAGTGTCACTCTAGGCAAATTATTGTCAGCGGTGTTAGTTTGCACTCTGCACTGAAAGCACAGTCTATAATGGACATATTGCTGCTCCTACAACAGTGATTTTGCTCCACAGAAGGAATTGAGAAATGCAGACGTAAAGATCTCTGAACTGACCTCGTCACCTAAATTCCTGATTTGTGAACTGAGTGAATGGTTGACAGTCCCACGGATCTGCCGATATCTATGCTGGGTACTCGCAGTCAAAAATAGATCCCTAGTGGGTAGCTCAGATTCATTAGGTATACACTCCTCTTCCCATCTTCGTATTCAGATTTTCTTCTTCAGCAGCAACAGAGTTAAAAGAAGAAAAGATAATTGACATTGGAGGATTTTTGTAAGGCAACGTATTATAGATAAAGGAACCAAGGAGGATAGGGTTGGGTGACAGGTCAACCTAAGTGAATTGTGATTTTGGGATGTGGGCTTAATGACAAGGCCAGAAGTTTTTGCCTGTCCCTAAAGGCCTTTGAAAAGGTTGTGTTGTGTCATCAGTGGAACTGCTGAAGTCTATGTAGTGTAGGTAAACCTATAATGCCGTTATGAGGATTTGACTCAGTCCTCTTGAAGGACCAGTGATATATTTCCAAGTCAGGATGGTGAGTGTTGGGAGGAGATTTTGCAGGTGAAGGTGTTTCCATGTATCTGCTGCCATTGTTCTTCCAGGTGATAGAGGTCATAGGTTTAGAAGGTGCTGTTGAAGGATGCTTTATAAGCTGCACAGTGTCTTGTGCAGGTGGTGCATATTGCTGCTGCCACTGTGCATCAGCAATGGAGTGAATGTTTAAGGTGATAGATGAGGTGCGAAATACATGGGCTGCTTTAGCCTGGGTGGTGTTGAGCTTCTTCAGTTTGCTAGACCTGCCCTCATCCACATTAATGAAGGGTATTCCTATGCAATTCTAATACTTGGGCCTTGTAATTATGGGTCAGCTTTGAGATGCCACCTGATTCCTAATGATTCCAGTTTTACTAGGATTTCTTGATGCTGTACTCAATCAATTGTTACCTCGATGTCAGGAGCAATCACTCACCTCTGGAATTCAGGTTTCATTTTCAAATCCATGTTTGAACCAAGGCTGCAACGAAGTCAGGAGCCGAGTGGCCCTGGCAGAACTCAAGCGAAGTGTTAATGAACAAGTTATTCCTTTGTAAGTGTTACTTTGTAGCAATGTCGACAACTTCTTATGTCATTTTCCTGATGACCAGAACTGATAGGGCAGTAATGGGTCAAGGTGGATTCGTCCTGTTTTTTGTGGGTAGAGCTTGGCTGGTCAATTTCCCACATTGTCAGGTATATGCCAGTGTTGTAGCTGTAGGTTGGGTACAGCTAGTTCTGGAGCTCAGGTCTTCAGCACGATTGCCAAAATGTTGTCAAGAGCTGTAGTCCATGGCTTTTCAAACTATTGGTGACAGGTTCCAGCCAGATTGCAAGTTGAGACTTTGGGGTTGTGAGGCAGCAATGTCTGCAATGGAGCTCAGTCTGATTTCAGAAACTGACAGAAACATTTAAATCCTAGTCTTTTATTTACGATGAGGGTATCCAGATAGACATCTTTCTGAGGCTCAAGTGCTACCTCAAAAAGGCCTGCAAATAGCTAGATGTTCACCTCAATAGTGGAATTGGGTGAACATTTGAAAAAAGAATTTACAATGTTTAAAGCAGCATCTCAGGAATCACCATGGGTGTTGGTTGTTAGTCATTGACTAGCTTCTCTGAAGGAGCATTAACCTTGACTAGAACAATGTCCTGTTGTAGGTGAGTTGAGAAGTGTCTTCAGTCGTATCTTGATTTCATAGAACATAGAACAGTACAGCACAGTACAGGCCCTTCGGCCCACGATGTTGTGCTGATCTGTTATCCTACTCTAAGATCAAACTACCCTGCATACCCTTCATTTTACTATCATCCATGTGCCTATCCAAGTCGCTTAAAAGTCCCTAATGTATCTGACTCCACCACCACTGCCGTCAGCGCATTCCATGCACCCGCCACTCTCTGTGTAAAAAACCTACCTCTGATATCTCTCCTGTACCTTCCTCCAATCACTTTAAAATTATGTCCCCTCGTAATAGTCATTTCCACCCTGGGAAAAAGTCTCTGGCTATCCACTCTATCTGTGCCTCTCATCATCTTGTACACCTCTATCAAATCACCTCTCATCCTTCTTCACTCCAATGAGAAAAGCCCTAGCTCCCTCAACCTTTCCTCATTAGACCTGCCTTCCAGACCTTCATGTAGAGAAAATTTGCTGAAGATCTGAGATGAGGGAATCTCAGGAGGTGGTGATTTTGTGGAGCCTGCACTTCCTAGTTGTTATTTGATTGTCCATCAAAAAATGTGCCTGGATTTTAACTCTCATTATCGAAACTGTGTGAAATGCATCTACATTCACTTTAGAGTCAATTACTTATTCGTGGACTGGGAGTGGTCTACGCCTTCCTGCAAACATAGCACTTTATGAGCCCTTCAGTCTTTGTTGGGTTGTGAATGGCTTGTAAGCAGTATTCAGCCACAGCCCCATTTTATTTTAACCTTATTCTGGCAGGTAGCTTATTCAGTGGTCAAATTGTTCACTACCAAGGGTTAATTTCGATCATCCCTCTTTACCTAGTCACAAAATCTAGAAATTTGTGGGAAAGAACGAACTTGCATTTATGAAGTACCGTTCACTGCCTCAGGTTGTCTCAATGTGGTTTATAGCCCAACTGCATACCTTTTGAAGTGTAGTCACTGTTGTCATGCAGAAAATGCAGCAGCCAATTTACATACAGCAAGCTCTAACAACCAGCAATGAGACGATCCATCTTAACTGCTGGTGCTTGATGAATAAATAACACTGGAACAAACTCCCCAGCTTTTCTTCCAATAATAGACTCATGGTGATTTTTTACATAGAAAACTGCTTCAGTTTAACATTTCATTTGGTAGATAGCATCTGCTACAGTGACACACCCTCAGTATTACACAAGAGCATCTTTTTGGGTTTTGTGCTCAAGACTTTGGAGTGAGTCTTGAAGTTAGACTTCTGACCCATGAGCTACAGCTGATACCTAAAAAAAAACACAATGATCCCAATCTGGGTCCCTCTCCACTGGTTAATATGTACAGTTATTGGTCCTGAGGAAAATTACATTAAAACTTGTAAAGTTATAAAACATGATTTTTTTCATGTTGGAATCTGAAAGGAAACTTGTTTCTGCAGCCTCCCAAACCAACAATTAACCCCCAGGAGGAAAGTCAAGAGGAAAAGCAGTTCCGCTCAATGTTTGAACAGATCTCAGGAAAGGTGAGTGGTATCATTCATCAAATAATCTCATTGTGATACTGAGCACAGGGTAAATTTACAGGAATATGGGAAGAAGTGATAACACATGAGCTTTGGGAGTAAGAAAATAGTGATTCAGGAATGAGAATGCTGCAGGTTTGGGAGTGAAAATATGAACGTTCATGAATGAGAACATGAGAGGTTCAAGAGTGAGAACACAGGAGTTCTAAGAGTGGGGCATGGGAGCTTTCAGAGTGAGAACATGGGGAGGTTCTAAAGAGAGAATGCAGGTATATTCCAGAGGCGAGAACGCGTGGAGGTTCCAGAATGAGAACATGGATAGGTTGTTCCCAGTCAAATCCTGCCCTGCATGTAGATTTCAAAGGTCCTGCTCAAAGTCAACCAGGTGTTGAAAAAGTACTCAATAGTTTTGGCTATTCCCTTTCATCTTACTTCTTAATGTTCATAGAAGGAGGTGGCTGTGTGCCTTTTGGTTCGCCAGTACAGTTAAATGAAGAACTATAGGAGTAAGCAAACGCAGATCATAAACATCAGCATAGAGCTGTTGCGCTGAATGGCCTGGAGGTGTGGTGTAGTTCCATGTGATAAAATGAACTGAAGATCCTTTTGAAGATGTACAGTTGTGGTATGATGTTCAATGATTAAATCCTATTTTACATCCTCTTCTTTTTCAGGATCTGGTGATCAGTGCTTATGAGCTGCAGGATATTTTAAATACTATCTTCACTAGAAGTGAGTTAATTAGCTATGGTGTTGAGTATTGCTAAAAATACAGACATGCTGGAAAAGCTTCCCATCTTTTACTCAGCTCTTTCTATTACTTTGGTTGTGTTGGCATCACAGATTGCTATCTGTATTTCGACAACATTTACAAATGTAGTCCACAATGTAATAATGATAAAATTGTCTGTTTTTGTACATATAAACATACATAATAGGTACAGAAGTAGACTACTTGGCCACTTAAATCTGTTTCGCCATTCAGTAAGATTGTGGCTCGTCTATGTTTCAAATTCCCCATTCCGTTTGATTCCCTTGCCTGACAAGATTCTGTATGCCTTTGCCTTAAAAACAATTAATCCCACCTCTAGTGCCATCTGAGGCACAAAGTTCTACATTTGTACAACCCTCTGACACAAAAAAATGTTCTCCTCAACTTGGTCCTAAAAGGACAATCCCTAATTTTAAAACAGTGCCCCCTAGTTCTAGACTGACCCTCGGAGGAAACATCCTTTCCATGTCCACCTTGTCAAGACTATTTAAGATCTTATACACTTCAATCAAATGATCTCTCACTATTCTAAACTCCAGTGAAACAAGCCCAGCCTGTCTAACCCACCATCATAAGACAAGATAAGGCATCAATCAGTCCAGTAAACCCTTTCTGAAACACCAAATCATTCTCTAAAGAAGGAGACCAAAACTGTACACAGTATTCAAGAGTGGTCTCACCAGTGCCCTGAACAACTGAGACATGACATCCTTATTTTTATATTCAATTCCTCTTAAAATATAGGATAGCATCCTATTAGCCTTTTTAATGATCTGTTATACCTGTGTACAAACTTTTGTGATTCATGCACTACAACATATTTATTACTTAGCACCTCTGAATTCCTCAGTTGTTTTCTGTTTAAATAGTACCCTGCTTTTTTTTGTTCTTTCTGACAGAGAGAACAAGTTGACATTTTCTCACATTATATTCCATAATTTTTGCTTACTCAACCTATCTATATCTGTCTGCCAACTTAAGTCTTCATCACAAAATGTTTTCCTATCTATCTTTGTGTCATCTGCATATTAGCTACCACCTTTACTTTTTTTTTATAAGTCATTGATGTAAATTGTGGCACATTGAGACCCTGTAGTCCTCCACTTGTCATACTCTGCCTATCAGAAAAGACCTATTCATGCACACACTATTTACTACCAGCCAATCTCCTATCCATGCTGATGTATTACCCCCTACACCGTGAACTTTTATCTTTCATAACAATCTTTGATGTGGCACCATATTAAATGCCTTCTGGAAATCCAAGTACATTACACGTACAGCCTCCTCTTTACCACAGTGCTTATGATTCATTCAAAGAACTCCAATAAATTAAACATGATTTTCCTTTCACAAAACAATGCCAACTCTTCCTGATTACCTTGAATTTTTCTAGTCAACAACTACGATCTTTTTAATGAACAAATCTAACATCTTCTCCATGACAGACATCAAACTAACTGGCCTATAGTTTCCTGTTTTCTGCCTCCCTCTCTTCTTGAGTAGAGGGTTTATAAATATCCAGTCCTTTCCCGAATCTAGACCTTTTGGAAAATTAACAGCAATGCATCGACTATTTCATTAGCTACTTTTTAAAAAACAATTCCTAGGATGAAGTCCACATGAAATAGGAAACTTGTCAGCCCACAGCTCAATTTGTTTAGCACTGCGTCCCTTATTCTTGTAATTGCACTAAGTTCCTTCCTACATTCCGCCTGCTGTGTTATTTGATTTGTTATATTTAGTAAAGAGTAGATATTCACCAGTACGCAAGAAATAACTCCCTTGCTCTTCTTCAAAGTAGTGCCCTAAGATCTTCTACATTTACCTGGACAGACAGATATAGCCTTTGTTTAACATCTTATGCAAATGAGAGTAAACCTGACAATTCAGTGCTTGCTCAGCACTGCACTAGAGAGTGTCCGCCTTGGTTTTGTATATGCTCAAGCCCTGAAGTGGGTCTGTGAAATGGGGACCTTGTGGTTCAGAGGTGACAGTGCTACCAATGGAGTCATAGCTGATACCATCAGGACAGATGCGAGAAACCAAATTATAAAGTGAAAGCCTATCCCTTTTGTTCTCACCAATACTTGAATTCTGTAATACCAAGTGATTTTTTGCCTACTGTGTTGTTAACGGGAGTTCTTCCCATGTTGAATTTTAGTACTATATATTTGGGTGCATGCATCCATTTAGAACAAAAAAGAACAAGAACAGGCCCTTTGGCCCATGATGTTGTCCTGCACATGAGCCAAATTAAACTAATCCCTTCTGCCATTGGTCTATATGCCCCCATTCCTTGCATATTCACATGCTTATCTAAAAGTCTGTTAAATGCCCCTATTCTTTCGGCGTCCACCACCATCCGTGGTAGTGCATTCCAGACTCCTACCACTCTCCGTATAAAAAAAAACTTGTCCCTCACATTTCCCCCTCTCACTTTAAATGCATGTTCCCTAGTATTAGACATTTCAACCCTGGGAAAAAGATTCTGGCAGTCAACCCTATTCTATGCATCTCATAATTTTATAGACTTCTATCGAGTCTCCCCTTAGTCTCCACTGCTCCAGATAAAACAACTCAAGTTTTTCCAGCCTCTCCTGATAGGTCATACCCTCTAATCCAGGCAGCATCCTGGTAAACCTCTTTTGCACCCTCTCCAAAGCCTCCTCATCCTTCCTGTAATGTGGAAACCAGAAATGAACACAGACTTCAAGTACAGTCTAACCAAAGGTACAACATGACATCCTGACTGTTGTACTCAGTTCCCCGATCAATGAAGGCAACCATGCTATAAGCGTTCTTTACCACCCTACCTACTTGTGTGGCCACTTTCAGGGAACTCAGGGATCCCTGTGTACATCAATGCTCTTCAGGGTCCTGCCATAAACTGTATACTTTTCATCTACCAAAGTACAGCACCTCACACTTACCTGGATTACACTGCCATTTCTCCGCCCATATCTGCAACTGATCTATACCTCACTATATCCTTTGACAACCTTCTAAACTATAAACAACTCCAGTGATCTTTGTGTCATCTGCAAACTTACTAACCCACCCATCTACATTTTCATTCAAGTCATTTATATATGTCACAAACCACAGAGGTCCCAGCACAGATCCCTAGGGACCACTAGTCATGGACCTCCAACCAAAAAAATACCCTTCTATCACTACCCTCTGCCTTCTATGGCAAGCCAATTCTGAATCCACACATCCAAATCACAGTGGATCCTATGCATCTTAATCTTCTGGATGAGCCTACTGTGATGGACCTTGTCAAAAGCCTTACTAAAATCCATGTACTGCTCTACCCACATCGATCACCTTCATCACCTCCACAAAATTCAATCAAGTGAGTAAGACATCACCTGCCCCACACAAAGGCCATGCTTTTCCTAATGCATGTAAATCCTATCCCGAAAGACTCTCTCCAATAGCTTCCCAACCACTGTTGTGAAACTCACTGGTCTATAGTTTCCTAGATTATCCCTATTTCCCTTCTTGAACAGAGAAATGACATTAGCTACTCACCAGTCCTCTGGGACCTCTCCAGTGGCTAATGCGTATACAAATATCTTGGTCAAGGCCCCAGCATCTCCTCTCTTGCCTCTCTCAATAACCTGGTATAGATACCATTGGGCCCCGAGGACTTATCCATGTTAATGCTCTTTAAGAGACTCAACGCTACTTTTCTTGATCTCAAAATGCCCTAACATATTAGCATGCTCCACACAAATCTCACTATCTTCTATATCCTTCCCCTGAGTGAATACTGATGCAAAGTACTCATTTAGGATCTCACTCACATCCTCTGCCTCCAAGCACAAGTTCCCTCCTTTATCTTCAAGTGGTCCTACCTTCTCATTAGTTATCCTTTTGCTTTTAATGTACGCAAAGAATGCCTTGGGATTCTGTTTAACCCAACTTGTCAAGGTCATTTCGTGGCTCCTGCTTGTTCTCCTAATTCCCTGCTTTCTTTATATTCCTCATGGGCCTTTTCCAATTTTGGCTTCCTAAACCTTACTGTGCTTCATTTTGCCTTTTGACTAAATTCACAACCTCCCTCGTCATCCAAGGGCCCCTTACCTTGCCATTCTGGTCCTTCCTCCTTACTAGAACATGCTGGTCCTGAACTCTCATCAGCAGGTCTTTAAACAACTCCCACATGTCGAATGTGGACTTGCCCAGTAACAGTTCCTCCCAATTAACACTCCCTAACTCCTGCCTAATACTAATTTCCTATTGTTACTTGTCCATCTCCGTCCCCTTAGCTTTGACTGAGGATTTAGCTGCAGATACATTGGCAGGTGAGCAGCAAGGACTCAGCAAGTTCCGAGTGCAGGCTCCAAATTGTGACCATTGTGGTCAGCATTTAGTAGCTTGTGGGATGAGCAGAATTTGCAACCACATAGAGTATATATGTTAAGATCTAAGGAGGATCCAAATTATTTGAGTGGACCTTGGGTGGGTAGCTCCCGTTCCTTTGGATAAAAATATATAAAAATACTTCCAAGTCCTGTCTTTTGGTGGAGCACTTTGGTTTCTGTGTAGTGTAGGATCAGAGCAGCTCCTGCTTAAAACAACAAAACTGGGCCAAAACAGAAGGAAAATGTAACACATGGAATCTGTGTGTTAAGGTTAATGATTCTTCATGTTCTGAGTATCATTCTCCTGCCCAGAGAGTGGGTATTTAATTTATCATTTACCTGTGTTTTTTTTTTTACAGGAAAGGAAATAGTGATGGAAAGTTTTGACATTGAGACGTGTCGCAGTATTGTGTCTCTCTATAATGTATCCTGTGATTTATTTTCTCCTTCAAACTCGGTCAACATTTATTGATCTGCAAAAGTATGAGTTGCCATGAACATCAAATTAATATCTATTAAATTAGATGTCCCTCACTTTAAAAACTTTTTTTAAAAAAAATTATAGCAAAATTCATTGTGTGCAGCTGGATGAGCACAGCAGGCCAGGCAGCGTCAGAGGAGCAGGAAAGCTGACGTTTCAGGTCTGGACCCTTCTTCTGAACCCTTCATTTCGGAAGAAGGGTCCAGACCCGAAATGTCAGCTTTCTTGCTCCTCTGATGCTGCGTGGCCTGCTGTGTCCCTCCAGCTCCACACCTTGTTATCTCAGACTCCAGCATTGGCAGTTCCTACTATCTCATAGCAAAATTCATATTCTTTGGCATCCTACAAACTGGAAAACTCTCCTGATGGAAATCTCTAGTATCCCTATCCTCCGGGGTCACTGTGACTATTTAAAAAAAAGCAAATGTTGTCACGCTGAAGTGATTGTAAAAGAATTGGCTACACATTGAAGAATTTTCTGAAGTATTTACAGGGAAAAGACTCACAGATGGGAGGCTATAAGCTTCTGCAAATTGCACTATACATTATGGCATGTCTTTGTTCAATTCCTATGATTACTACAAACTGCAAATCTGAAAACTTTGTATCTTCAAATTTAGATCTATTCTACACACACACAATAGTGTACATGAATGCTCAAAACTAGAATATAAAAACTCCACATATAATGTATATAGGAAATGGCAATACTGCTTTCACTGGGTACAGTACAAGTAACTTTGATTTGATGCTCAAATCTCTATTGCGAAGCTTGAAGCCACAATCATCTATGTCAGAAAGGCAGTGCTACCCACTGAGGTACACAGTGATCACCTAACAGTACTCCTGATGACCAAAACAAATCATCTTAAATCTTGAGGAAACATCGCCCCTATCAAATATATAACTACAATCCAAATATCAGAGTATTCATCCACAAGCACCAGGTTAACAGTGTATCAAGCATATAGAAACATAGAAGATAAGAGATGTAGGACCTTGGCCCTTCAAGCTTGTTCTGCCATTCAACTCAGTAGCCTGTCTCCACTTTCTCCCCATACCATTTTATCCCTTTAGCCCTAAGAACTATAGGGCAGAGAATTCCACAGACTTATCAATTTCTGGGTGAAGAAACACTTCATCTCAGTCCTAAATGGCCTCCCTCAAATCCTTAGACTGTGACTGTGACTTGTCTCCCTGGTAATCAGGAAAATCCTTCCTGCATTTGCCCTTTCTAGTCCTATTAGAATCTTATAGATTTCTATGAGATCTCCCCTCATTCTTCTGAACGCCAGTGATTATGGTCCTAACTAATTCAGTCTGTCTTCACATGTTAGACTTGCATGCCAGGAATCAGATTGATAAACCTGCATTGAAAGAATGCGTCACTGCACAGCGACTTCCCAAAATGTTTCTGAACAGGTTTATTATCCACTAGCAATATAGCATTTCCAAAGTGTCTTTAATGTAGCAAATGCTACATGGGGCTGGGCAGAGATACAGTTCAAACTGCAACAAGATATTTTTGCCTTTTGTTCATCAACAATCAACAGAGATGTGCTAGCAGAAAATGGTATAAAGAATTACAAAATTCAGAATTAATCCTTGACTACACCTTCAACACAGAAAGACAATGCTGGAGGACTTGGGTTTGATGAATTCAAGATCTTTTGGAGCCGAATGAAGATGTGGATGGTAAAGGAATCAATAATTTTTGAGTAAGACTTTAGGACTCTTGAGCAACTGTGCAATGATATCACAGAGCTGCTCATCACTGGACATAAAAAGCAATGTAGGCAGAATTGAAGGGGAAGAGATAAACATGTAGAAGGCTGAAGTCTAGTCATGTGAATGTTAGAAATACCTGCAGAGAAGCATGTGAAGTAGACCAACTGGTATTAGGTGGTAGAGTTTATGCAATAGTCATTCTACAATGTAACAGTAAGATTAGAGCCAGATATATCTCAGATTACTCTGGATTGTAGCATTTGGTCATAAACAGTTTTGTAATGAAGTCTAAGCTGGAGTATAGTTCTTGACCTTGCCTTCTTCTTGATCACACAACAAAACAGTAATGACATCAGGGTACAGTCACTCCCTGTTACTTGTCCATCTGGTCTTAACGCTGCTGCTCAACTTCCTCCTTTTGCAGAATGCTTTTCTGAGCTGTGATCATGACAAATCAGGGACCATATCAGCTCATGAACTCCGAACTGCTGTTAAGAACACAGGTAAGGAACTGGGACAGGCACTCGTATCAAAAATAAAAATAAGACTGAAAGAACTTGAATTTATATCATAGTTTTCGCAATTCAGTATGTCCCAAAGCATTCACATCTAATAAGGTATTGTACAGTATTTCAAAGGAAGTGCAGCAACCAATTTATGCATGGCAAGCTCCCACAAAAAAAATGATAACTAAATCATCTGTTTTAATAATGTTGATTGAGTGATAAATACTGACCAAGACATCAGGGAGACCCCAAAATAGTGGCAGAATGGTACAGTACATTCAACAGAATAGCTGGCCCTCAGTACTGCAATGGAGTTTCAATTATAATGCTTATGACTCTAGAATGTGACTTTAAACAGGTTTTGTCATTCAGTTGCCACAAGTTTGAAATAAACACACCATAGACTCAAAACTGATAAGCACCATTCAGTGTATTTCTTGTACCTCTCCATAGAATCCCCACAGTGTGGAAGCAGGCCAGTTAACCCATCGAGTCCACACCAACCCTCCAAAGAGCATCCCACCCCAATTCACACACCTATCCTATCCCTGTAACCCTGCACTTCCCATGGCTAATGCCCCTAGCCTGCACATCCCTGAACACTACGGGAAATTTAGCATGGCCAATCTACCTAGCCTGCACATCTTTGGACTGTGGGAGGAAACCAGTGCACCCGGAGGAAATCCACGCAGACATAGGGAGACTGTCAGTGCTGAGTTTGCACATTCTCCTGAGGCTGGAACTGAACCCGGGTCCCTGGGTGCTATCCATTGAGGCACTATGCCACCCTTTCTACTGGAGATGTGCATATCAATTAATTCCTGTTTCTTTATGATTAATATAACAGCACCTACAGGGACTCCTGTGACGCAGAGATAATATCCCTACCTCTGGGTCAAAGACACAAGGTTCAAGTCCTACCTACTACAGAAATGTGCCATAACATATTCAAACAGGGTGATTAAAAATAATAGAACTTATGATCTTTGACTCAGAGTCAACAATGTTGCTGACTTACCCACAGCTGACACCACCTGCAGCAAAGGTACTTCTCAGATGTTTCTCGGCCCTGGTGTTTCTCTTATAAAATAGCGTGCAGAGAATAATTACACAGAATACAAGGCTTGAGACTAAAACATAAGCTTTGGAATTATGATCTGTGCGGTTAGCACCAGTGGAATCTGATGGGAGAAATTATCCCACAGTTTCAGGATCTGCGGAAATGATCCCATTACTTTTGTGATCTGGAATAGTGGTCCCAGCATGGGTAGAATCTGGAGTGAAGATACTAATGTTTGGTGATGTGATTTCAGCATTATTGAAATCTGAAGTACTACACCTATCAACAGTGAAAGGATTCCAGCATGTGATCTAATGAAGGGATTTCACTGTTATAGGGATCTAGCAAAGAGATTTCAACGTAACAGATCTGGCAAAGGGATTCCAGCATTACAGATCTGATTAAAGGATTCCTCTAGACACATTTAGAGGTCCTAGAATCTGAAAGCATGCAGACATAATTACTTGGACATTCTAATTGGGATTTCTCAAACCTTTCCTTAGTTTGACCCTATTTTAATGCCCCAGACTTTATGTGACTCCAAAGTGAAAGATTTAGGAGTTATAAAAGTTGTTGAGAGGAAAGGGTGGGATCAGTGTTTTCTTTTCAAAAACCGCCTAGCTTTTCATTCATTTTTCTGTGGCAGCAGCAATCACACCTCAAACATCTGTCCATTAGGCTGCAATCACCATTAGATAGAAACATGAGCCTCCAAAGGACCTCACAGCTGTTAATATTCAAACTGTGCCACATGGCAACCATTGCTGACTTGGAGCTTGTGATCCCAACATCTTGTCTCAGGAATCACAATTTGGGAAGTCTTGCTGTAAATTCAGTATTCACAATAAGAGACATTTAGGAGAACAGACTAAGATAAAACATATTGGTCATATCCACAGAGGATGTTATTGAGAACTTTGCTTTAGGATGCTGTGCAGTTCAGTTAGGTGGAAATCTTGGGATGATATCACAGCGGAAGAAAATGGCCACAAAATCCCCGCCTCCTGATTATTTTTGTCCAAATCCTTCCTTTGCCTAATGCAATGGACTGAAATTCCAACTGCAAGAATCTGAATGGTTTTTGGTTTGCAATTAAACTCTGATAGTAATCAAACTGCAACCTTTGATCCCCAGGATTTCAGGTCAACAATCAGTTACTGCAGCTTATGGTCCTCCGATACACAGACGCATACCTTCAAGTTGATTTTGATAACTTCCTCCGTTGCATGGTTCGATTGGAGACTGCGTTCAGTGAGTAATTGTTAACTATTAAATCAGACACTACTTTCATTAATCAGGAAAGGCTCCTGATAGTTCAGTAGAAAGACTTTACAAGACACAATTCATGACTTCTGGACATCCCAAGGTGTTTTCCACCTAATGAAATACTTTTTGAAGCATAGTTATTTGTAGTATAGGTGACATGACAGCTAATTTGAGTACAGTGAGCTTCCAATATGACGACAACCACAGTGCTGTTAAGGAAGTTCTGGTTTTTGATACAGTGACAGTAAAGTACACAACTTTATTCAATGCTGTATACACTAGTCTCCCATCAGCCATCCTCCATAAATTTCAGGTCTTCCAAAACTCCATTGTCTGTATCTTAACTTGCACTAAGTACCATTCACTCAACACACCCAATGCTTGCTGGTTCCCAGTCTGCAATACTCTGATTTTAAAATTCTCGCCCTTGTTTCCATGCCCTCACCTTTCATTATATCTATAGCCCTATAACTCTCCAAGATCTCTGCATATCTCCAATTCTGACCTCTCAACCTCCTATTTCCATTATTCACAACTATGCCTACAGATGTTTGGGCCCTAAGCCCAGGAACTCCTTTGCCAAATTGCTCCACATCCCCATCCTCCTTTTATTCATTCCTGAAAATATATCTCATTGACCAAGTTTACTTTGATCACCGGTCCTAATATTTCCTTATGTGACTTGGCATCAAATTTTGGCTGATGAAATTATGAAGAACCCTGAAATGTTGAGTATCTGTTTAGTTTGCTGAAGGTATCCAAGTCCTCAAGTGGTGTCAATGTGCTGCCACCTTGTGGTGATCTTGTGGGTATGGGTTAGAATCTTGCTGCAAAGTCCTGCTAACCCAATCTACAAAGCATTACCACTGTCAAGGAACTTGCAATTGTACTCTAGAGGTTCTCTCCCTGTACCCAGTCTACGTTACATGAGAATTAGTCTTATTCCATCTTTTTGCACGTTCTTCACTACAGATATATTAGGACCTTGGAGAAAGATGCACCAGAGTGGTACCAGGCAGAAAGAACTAAAGTTATATGAAGCATGAGTATTGGTGGTTAGAGGAATCAGATTTTACATACATATGAACATATGAAATAGGAGCAGATGCAGACCATTTGGCCCCTCGAGCCTGCTCTGCCATTCAGTAAGATAACTGCTGATCTGTTTGTGTTTTGGATTCCACATTCCCATTAACCCGACTCTGAAAGAGCTGCAGATGCTGTAAATCAGGAACAAAAACAAAATTGCTGGAAAAGCTCAGCAAGTCTGGCAGCATCTGTGAAGGAAAAAACAATTAATGTTTCGGGTCTGGTGATCCTTCCTCACCGGACCCAAAACATTAATTGTTTTTTCCTTCACAGATGCTGCCAGACTTGCTGAGCTTTTCCAGCAATTTTGTTTTTGTACCTTTGATTCCCCCTGCCTATCAAGGATCTATTCTGTCTGTTTTAAAAATATTCAATGACCCAACCTCCACTGCCTTCTGAGGAAGAGAATCTAAAAGTCTCGAGTCTATGACAGAAAAAAATTCTCCTCAACTCTGTCCTATAAGGGCAACCTCTGCCAAAGTGAACAATTTCACATTTTCTCACATTGTACTCCAGCTGCCAGATTTCTACCAATAACTCAAGCTATTTATATTCATCTGGAACTTTCTTATGTCCGCCTCACAACATACTTTCCTGTCTATCTTGGTGACATTGATGAATTTAGCTACCATACTTTCACGTAAAATTGTAAAAGGTTGAGGTCCCAGCACAGACCACTGTGGACTCTACTCGTTACCTCCTGCCAATCAGACAAAGATCTATTATGCATAATCTCTGTTTTTGTCCCCCAGGCCAATCTCCTATCCATGCTAATTATAGTGACCCCCTCCAACTCCATGACGTTTTATGTTCTGCAATAATTTTTGATGAGGCACTTTTTCAAATGGATCATTACATGTACAGTCTCCCCTTCATTCAAACATGTATTACTCCTTTAAAGAACTCTAATAAATCCATTAAATATGATATGCCTTTGACAAAACCCTGCTGACTCTTCCTGATTACCTTGTGTTTTTCTAAGTGCCCAGTTATTATCGCTTTCATGATCAATTCCAATATCTTCTCCATGACAGACATCAAGCTAACTGCCCTACAATTTTCTGCCTCCTTCGCTTCATTAATAGAAAGGTTGTATGTCCTATTTTCCAGTCCGATGGAACCTTTCCTGAATTTAGGGAATTTTGGAAAATTAACACCAATGCATCCAATACTTCATTAGCCACCTCTTTCAAGATTTTAGGAAGAAATTTATCTGGACCCGGAGACTTGTCAGCCTGCAGCTCCATCATTTTGCTTAATAGCACTTCGCCAGTAATCAAGACATTTCTGAAGAAGGGTCCAGACCCGAAACGTCAGCTTTCCTGCTCCTCTGATGCTGCTTGGCCTGCTGTGTTCATCCAGCTCTACACCTTGTTATCTCAGATTCTCCAGCATCTGCAGTTCCTACTATCTCTTTATTAATTTCCTCTTTTCTTTTCACCTTCTGATTTACAGCTATTACTGAAATTGTTTTTGTATATTCTACTAGTAAGGACAGAAGTGAAATGTTTGATCATTTCATACACCATTTTCTTATTACTACTATTAACTCCCCATCCTTACTCTCTAGAAGACCAACACTCAGCTTACTCTTTTGCTTTTTTAATACCTTTAGAAACTGTGCTATTTGTTTTTACATTCCTAGCTATTCTTCTCTCCTATTCTTACTTTCTTCCTCCTGATGAATGTTTTAGCCGTTTCCTGCCTTTCTTTATATTCTGAACAATCATCTAACCTGTAACTCATATTTGCACAGTTACATGCTTTTATCTTAGTTTAACGCATTCCCTAACTTCTTTAGTTAACCATCAATGGTGGATCCTCCCTTTAGAATTTATCCCTTAAATGTCTGCCACCATGTCTCTTGATCTGTCAGCTAGCCTGGTATGCCAGTTCACTTCAGCTAGCTCAGCTTTCATGCCCTCATAATTCCCCTTACTCAGGTTTAGAATACAAACCGTAGCCCCAGTCTTCTCCCTTTCGATCTGGATGTGAATTTGATTACATTGTAGTGCCTGAATTCTGAGATAATTAACCTAACTTTTCACATTACAAATACCAAGTCTAACATAGCATAGAAAATAAGGACAAGGATAGGCTATTCAGCCCTTCGAGCCTGCTTCACCAGTCTATGAGATCATGGCTGATCATTCAACTCAGCATTCTGTTTCTGTTTACTCCCTATTCCCTTGATCCCTTTAGCCCTAAGAACTATATCTAACCCTTCTTTATAATGTTCAATGTTGGCCTCAACCATGTCCAAAATTCTACAGGCTCACCACTCTCTTGATGAAGAAATTCCTTCTCGTCTCAGTCATAAATGGAGTACCCCATATCTTCAGACTGTAACCCCTAGTTCTGGACTCCCCAGTCATTGGAAACCTTCTCTCTGTGGTGGTTTTAGTTAAATAATTAGATAGTGTGATATGCCCTGTGGTATTGACTGTGGATTTTGTTTTAAAAAAACAGGATCATTCAAAACATGTGACACCCGGCAGACTGGTGAGGTGACACTGAATTTAATGCAGGTGAGAACTTGACAGGATGAGCACTTTCAGCTGACCAATGTTTGCAGATCTATATGCCCAGTCACACCCACCAGGACTAGTATCCTTAGACATTGAAATAATGTCAGTGTCATTTGCATGTTTATGGGAACAGAAACCACAAATGTACTACATGTCCAAATATCAATGTGTTTATCATTACAAGGTGAACCTTGGGATATACTTGACTCGTGATGAGGGAAATCTGCGAACAGCAGATTCTAACAGACTTTGTCTCCCAACAGCACGGTTTAATTTCATTCAGATACATAGTCCCCAAAATCATATGCACTTCTCATTTGGTTTTCTGTCTTTAAATGATCAATATTTTTTTAACAACTTAATCAAAAGACAGACTCCCAACAGTGCAGCATACCCTCAGTACTCCACTGAAACATCAGCCTTAGAATTTGAACGCTGGTTTCTCTTGTGGGACCTGAACCTGCCGATTCAGAAGTATTGCCTACTGAACCACAATGTTGGCATCTGGCATGGATCTCACTGATGGGCAGTGACACTATTTCCAATTTACAGCTAAAAAAGATTGAACAGGGCTATTTGTTAGGTTGCTGTTTCCTTAACATTATTTTTTTCAAGATGGTGATCTACTAGCGATTATTCTGCAGCAGGGAAAAGAGACAACCAATTTTATTGGGTGTTTGGAGACCATTGCCTGAGTTTAATTCCCTTACCACTCCACTTTCTCCCTCCTGGAGGAACAGCTCATGATGGGGGCTTTCTTTGCAATCCACCCTCCTCTCCTCAAACATCCTCGAACAACAGGATGATTCCAGTGTTTGGGGAACTGTGCAAAGCAACATCACATTTTTTATCCCTCTGCTGTGCGGGATTTCAATGTAAATGACACATTTTAAATGTCACTGCATGAACACGCAGCCAGTTGGGTCCCTGCTTCTCATGCCCAGTGAGTACATTGTCCCTGTGCCCACTGTCCTTCTCTTCTGCCCTCTCAATATCTTCTCCTCCTCATCTTAGATTGCTTCTAACTTTGTTAATTTTAGCTGCTGATATTTTGCTTGTTTGTTGCAAAAATCAGGACCTATTTAATTTAGAACTCTGTTTAACTAATGTTACTGTACTTTTAAAACAGTGGCTCTACATGACAATGAATATTTGAAGATAGAATTGGAGATCCTCAGACTTCAGTGCTTTTCACCAAAGGATCTGAATTTCAACATTAACAGGGATAAAATATGCATCAGAATGAAATCTTATTTCTTTGAATTTTTTTTTTTACTGTACTTTGGTATATCTGCTTGTCCTTGTAGAGGGGTTTTGAAGAATATTCCTGGTTACTGATGGTTTTGCTTTATGGATATTATCTGTTCTGTTATTCCTCCATTCTGAGACCAATGTTTGTAAATATTTCATGTTTCTATGTTTTGAGAGTACAGCAGTCCTTAGCACAACAGTGTCCCATCACTAGGCAAAAAAAAAATCAAATCCAATCCCTTGGTACCTAAACTCTCATTTTTTTACATCACATCTTCTCTTGAAGCCCAATTCATGTCTGGACATAAATTGTTCTGTTCTGATCCCTTTTGTACTTCCATCAAAACCCATCCCTCATGATAATTAATTCTCCAGTCAAACTCCAAGGCTCTGGTAAAGGAACTCTCCTCCAGAACTCTAATTCTCTATTTGAAGACAGCTCTTTTGACGCTGTTGAATATACTTCCAGGGTTAGTGGTTTAGGTAGGATCTGCCATATTGTATTGGTTAGTAACAGCGGAAAAGTGAATGAAAGGAAATGAGCGCTTTTCAATAAGAAGATTAGGACTGCTTACGTGGACAGTAAACACTGATGCAACTGGTTTGGACCAGATGATGGGTTTCTGTATTGTAACTTCTGTAGTTCTAGATAATGAGATTCCCATTCAGGATCCTACCCTTTTGCAGTCTATTCTCCCATTGAAATCCATCCATCTTGTACCTTAACTCACCATCTGAAGGCCGCCCTACAAACATTTTAGCTCACACATTAAAGTTCATCCCTCGAGTACATTAATTCACAGACCATGACATCTGATTGCATGTTTGATAATCTCAACCTTTCATCCTTTTTGCCTTATTTAGTATTTTAAGATCATACATCATTTTATCATTAATTGTTTACCCATGAATAACCAAGATTATCTGGTTGAAAGGTTGAGGAAAGAAACCATGCATGATGCTTTTCAGGGGAAGCTAGATAAGTATGTGTGGGAGTCAGGAATGTACGTGTTGGGCATCAAGAGGCCTGAACCTGGATAATTGAGTCAGAGTGATACAGCATGGAAACAGGCCCTTCAGCCTGTCCATGGTGCCCATTCAGCTAGTTCTAATTGCCCGCATTTGGTCCATATCCCTCTAAACCCTTCCTATCCAAGTATCTATCCAAATGTTTTTTAAATGTTGCTATTGTACCTGTTTCAACTACTTTCTCTGGCAGCCCATTCCTTATACGCACCACTCTGCGTGAAGAAGTTGCCCCTCAGGTCCTTCTTAAATCTTTCCCTTCTTACCTTAAACCTATGTGCTCTAGTTTTCAATTCCCCATCCCTGGGAAACAGACTTTATGCATTCTTCTTATCTATGCTCTTCATGATTTTATACACCTCAATAAGGTGTATTCTACATTCCAAGCCATAAAGTCCTATCCTGGCCAATCTCTCCCTATAAGTCAGGCCGACTAGTCCTGACAACATCCTCGTAAACTTTCCAGTTTAACTATGTCTTTCCTATAACAGGGTGACCAAAATTGTACACAATGCTCCAAGTGCCACCTCACCAATGACTTATACGACTGTAACATAACATCCCAACCACTATACTCAATGCCTCGACCAATGAAGGCCAGCATGCTAAATGCCTTCTTCACCACCCTTTCTACCTGTGTCGCTGCTTTCAACGAACTATATACTTGTACTCCTTGGTCCCTCTGTTCTACAACACTCCTCAGGACCTTACCATTTACTGTATAAGTCCTACCTTGGTTTGACTTTCCAAAGTGCAACACCTCACACTTATCTGTATTGAATTGCATTTGCCAATCCTCAGCCCACTTCCCAATCTGATCAAGATCCCTCTGTAATTTTTGATAACCTTCCTCACTATGAACAATACCTCTTAATTTTGTATCATCCGCAAGCCTACTAAGCATGCCTTGTACATTCACATCCAGATCATTTATGTAAATAACAAATAACAAAAGTCCCAGCACCGACCCTTGTGGCACGCCACTAGTCACAGGCCTGCTGTCCGAGAGACAACCTTCAACCATTACCCTCTGCTTCCTATCATTGAGCCAACTTTGAATCCAATTAGCTAGCTCTCCATGGATCCCATGCGACCTAACCTTCATGACTAGCCTGCCACGTGGGACCTTGTCAAAGGCCTTGCTAAAGTCCATATAGACAACATCCACTGCCCTAGCCTCATCTATCCTATTGGTTACCTCTTCAAAAAACCTCCCACGCATAAATCTATGCTGACTATTCCTAATCAGACCTTAATTATCCTAACATTGGTTGATTCTGTGCCTCAATATCCTCTCCAATAACTTACCTACTGCTGATGTCAGGTTCACTGGCCTGTAGTTTCCTGGCCAGACTTTACTACCTTTCTTAAACAATGGAACAACATTAACCATTCTCCAGTCTTCTGGAACTTCAGTAGGTAAAGATGAAGCAAAAATCTCTGCAAGGGCCTCTGCAATTTCTTTCCTAACCTTCCACAATGTCCGAGGATGGACTTGATCAGGCCCAGGGATTTGTCCATCTTAATGCGCTTCAAGGCTGCAAACACCTCCTCTCTGGTCTTATACAATTCTGCGTAATTTATGGGGGATTTTTAAAGAACTTATTGTCAGTGGCAAATTTGCGTCGGCACCTTAATCTTGTTTTCTATGTTGAAATTCACGCAGTTAAAGAACACGTAGAACATGTTTCCAGATACATCAGACAGTGTGCTTATTGTACAATGCCTTATAACATACATTATTCATACCTTTTGGTTTTTGTTCAATTGACCTGAGATTTTGCGAAGGTACAATGTAATTCTCTCCAAGTCCTGTAACATTTCCTGTGAATTCAATGGTACACAATCTACCGATTTACTGCTAGTTTACAAAAACAGAAGTTTCTGGAAAAGCTCAGCAGATCTGGCAGCATCTATGAAGAAAAAAAAAATCAGTTAACATTTCGGGTCCAGTGACCTTTCCTCAGAACTGCCAGTTTATACAGTTACAGAAACTCTCAGAATGAAATGAACAGGACTTCAAGAATGTCAGTTTTTTTTTGAAAATGGATGAAAACTGGTCTTCCCCTCCCCCACCTCCATTTAGTGCAGATGGAGAGAAATTTTCCATCAAGAGAACCACAACTTGCCTTTAAACCATTTGATGAAAAATCTCCATCCAACTACAAAGAAACAGCAAGATCCAGACTCAAAGCGAGAAAATAAAAATGCTCTCCACATTAGAAACAATAATGAGGAGATCTGAAGAATAGGAACATAAAAAGAAAACAGTAATGTTACAGCACAGTTGAGGGCATTTTGATTTTAAATGTTAATTCATAATCCAAATATACTCATTTCTTTCTGCTCCCCTCCCACCTCCCTCAATATAGTCCAAATTTAATCCAGTCTAATTCAATCACTAGGTAATGTTTCTGTATCACAGACTGTTTAGGATCTGTTCAAAATTGTACCTTTACGGTTCCAGTGCATGCCAATACTGGTCTGAACTATCTTAGAATGTACCAGACATATCCCAGTTCATGCCAATATTAACTTACACTGTGCCAGTACTGTTTCAGAATTTGCTAACACTTGCTCCAGCATATGCCAATACTGACCCAGCCTGAATAATGCTAACCATATCCTTTCCCAGACAGTGCCAGTGCTGTCTCAGTCTGTACAGCTGCACACTACCAATACTCCCCGACTGTCCCCGCCAGTGCCAGTCCTGTTCCAGTTCTACTGCTGTTCCAGACTCTGCCAGCCCACAGACTGTAAGTGTCGTCCAAATGTCAACAGTATCCCAAACTGTGCTAGTGCAGTCCTAGTTGTGTATCACCGCTATCCTGTATGTATTGTCCCAGGGCTGTCAGAGTAATCTAGTGTTTTCCACAGATATTGTTGGTACTGTTCCAGTGCTGCATCAGTACCTGCACTATACTTTATGATACTCATGGTAACAGTTTGAGAACAAAATAAATGGTTTTCATTTTTAAAATTTACAAGTCAAACATTTATTGAAGTTTGTTCAACCTAATCTAACCTCATTGTCTGAATTCTGCAGAAGAATTCTTTTCTCATTTATTTTCTAATGCAGCGTTTGTTTCATTATTTTGCTATAAGCTGCTCCTGAATCTCCAGTCAGGTTCAACAAAAATTCAGCTGCCACTCAAAGATGTGAAAGTCCTTCATTTTTATCCTCTGATTTGGATTCTGTCCTACATTGTATAATGTTTAAAGCAACTTTATACTGAAGAGGTTGAGATCATGGAAATAAAATGGCTATCTAGTCAGTACTGTGTCAGTTTCTTGCTCTATCTTGTCTGCAGTTACTTTCTTATCAAGGATTCCTGCACTATTTTCTCAATTTTCAGAAGTGCAAAATGAGGGGCCATAAATAAAAGATAGTCCTAATAAAATGTAGAATTCAAGGGAAAAATCTTTACTTAGAATGCTGAGAATATGGAATGTAAATAGAAAATGCTGTAATTATGAATGCAGGTTTGGCAGGACTTGTGGAGAAAGAAAACTGTTAACATGCCATTTCTGAAATAATAGGTTTTGAAAATTGCAAGTTAACAGGTAAAGTTGGAGTGGGGAGAAAGAAACAAAATCCAAAACCAAGTTAATGTGCGTGTTTGTGAATGCACAGAGCATAGTAAGTATGACTGAAGAATTACAGGGGCAAATTACTATGTGGAAATATGATGCTGTGGCGATAAGAAAGACCTGGCTCAAGGAAGGACAAGGTTGGGTGTTAAATATTCCTGGGTGTAGGTTATTCAGGAAAGATAGAAAATGGGAGGAAAGAAGGAGTAGCAATATTGGTAAAGGAAGGCATTGCAGTGTCGAAGAAAGAGGATGGTTCTTTAAGAACAGACTCAATTTGGCTAAAGCTATGGAATAAAAAGGGTTCAATTACAATGCTTAGTGTAGTCAATAGACCATTAACGTAGAAAAGGTGTAGAGGAACAAATCTTTGGGGAAATTACAGAGAAATGCCAACATTATAAATAGTTAATATGGGGAATTAAATTACACAAATATATATTAAGATATTTGTAGTGCAAGGGGCAGCGAGGAGTTAGTGCCCCTAGAATGTGTTTAGGAGACTTTCCTACAGCAGAGTGTGTCCAAGAAAAGATGCATTGTTGGACCTGGTCATGGCAAATGAGGTGGTCCAAATGGTTAAAATGCCAGTTAGGACATCTAGGACACAGTAATTATTGTATCATAAGGTTCAGGGTGGTGGGGGAGAATAAAGTGCAACAATCCAAAGTAATACAAATCAATTGGTGGAGAGCTGACTTCATTAGGGCAAGAACAGAACTGGGCAGAATTGACTAAAACAAGAGGTTGTCAGGAAAAACAATAAGCAAACAATGAGCCATCTTCAAAGAGGAGACAGCTTAGGTGCAGTCAAAATATATTCCCTCTAATGGGAAAGGTAGGACGAATAAATCCAGAGTTCCCTACATGACAAAGGAAGTAGAAATTAATGTTATAAAATGTGCTTGTGACAGGTGTAAGGCAGAAAATACAAGACAACCAAGAATTACTAAGGTTTAGACGAGAGGTGAAGAAGCAATAAAAAGAGAAACAAAGAAGAATTATGAGTAAAGACTAGCAATTAACTTAGAGGGGAATCCCAGCCTTCTATAGGAACATAAACAGAGACTAGGGACGATCAGTGATCAAAAAGGGATTTACACGTAGAAGTGGGGGACATGGCTGAGGTACTAAATGAATGCTTTGCATTTATCTTTACACAAGAAAAGATGCTGCCCAAGTCATGTGATAGAACAGGAAACACTGCCACTAAAAGGGTTCAAGATTAATAAGGAAGAAGTCTTATATAGATAGTTGGTGACGAAATGTCTACAATCAAACATAAATCTTCTCAAAAACTTTAAATTACATACTTACTTCAGCTCTGAAGGTCTGTGATGTCTGGCTGAAGAAGGTGCTGCTCATTTGGAAAAGCATGCAGTTCAAGTGAAGGTATGGTCTTTTGTCTGCAAAGATATCACAGTTGGCAACAGGAATGGGATTGTACATGTCCCTGGCAAAATAAAATTCAATTGGAGAAACTTGCATCAAATCAGCACAAGAACTGAATCTTTTAATAGTTGGGCTTCCAACAGCAGGTGGTGATAGTGTGGGCATACTCATCAGTTCCTCATGGCCTCTTCCTGCAAGGGAAAATGTCTTTGGTAAGCTGGGGTTGCAAGAATGAGAGGCTGTGGAAAAGGGACAAAGAAGGAGCTGAAAGCTAGGGCTACAGCAGGAAGCCTCTGATGCTAGCTAGCCAGAAAAGGTGAATTAGAGCAGGCATGCAATGGCTGGATATCTATCCAGAATGACTGGCAGCACCCCAACACAGAATAGCTTCATAGATACAAGAGCAGGGGCTAGGTATCGGAGCCGAGTTCTATTCTGGTCGGTCGGCACTGAAAACCCAGGCCCATGAATAGTTCAGATCTTAGCCAGGAAGCTGGGAAGTGGCAGTAGAGTTAGCCGACAGGGGCAGGAGACCAGCTGGGAAAAATCCCTAAGTTTGATAGGCCACTGAATGAATTACCCAACTGATTAGAGGCCAAGAGTTCAGCTCTACAACAATATCTTGATGGATCTGCAACAGCAGGCAAATATTCATTATAAATAGTTTATTCTAAGCTACACTTTTCTATTACCACATATAAAGATTTGTTGCCAGTGGAATAAAGAATCCCTCTTTTGTCTTCCAGCAATGTGACTATTTAAATTGCCTGTTAATGTCTTCATAGGCAACATCTAACAAGCTAGTTTATTCTCGAAACAATTGAAGGATACATACACAAATATCCACAAGAGGGTGCAATTGAATGATCATTCTTTCTAACTCTAGAATTCCGTATTTCCACCAGTGGGATGAGTGGCAGGTTTTCCAAACTGCCTTCTTTATGTGATATGGAGTTAATATGGTGTTAATGCCATGAAGGGAGTTGCTAAATATATAGGAGTTTCTTTTGTACATCAGATACTTATTTGTGAATCCAGTTCCCTCAATCCCTACAAAAGCTTTTGCTTGCTCAGATATCTAGGGGAAATACCAAAACACACTTATGGAGTGAATAGAGTACTCTTTCTTGAATACCTCAGTTAGCACTTTACTCCTTTGTCTCCATTGATCTAATTGTGTTTCACAGAGCTGCACAATAATATGGTTTTCGTCTTCAAATATCATAAATTATTAAGCAGTAACAAAACAACAGCAGTAACACATTAGCTTGATGATAGTCCTTCATGTATCTGCACCCACAGCTGCGTAACCAGAGCTCCTGCATTTGTGCAAGTATTAAGACACCACGTTAGTACAGTTTTAGCAGCTTGGTCTCAAGATTTTCTTCAATGTCTCAACCAGGATCAATCAATTGAAAACCCAATGCCTGTCTTTATCCACAAGGTGACATCTCTAGACCAAATGACCGAAAATGTCACATTGGTCACTGGCTAGTTATATTTTAATTGGATCTTCTATACTTCTGAAACCTCCAAACTTCTTTTGAGTTGTCACAGACACCTTTAATGATTCTTTTGGCATTTTAGAAATTACACTCGCTCATGTGATGTTGGTGTTGCAGACTGGGCAAATATTTATTCCTCTAATTGTCCTTAAGGTGGTGGTGGTAATCTGCCTTCTCGAATTGTTGCAGTCTGTTGGGGTAGCGACACTGTTGTTAGAGACAGGATTCCAAGATTTTGGAATCTAGGACCAGACTTTTCTAGTATTACCATCAGCAGGGGTCATAATACTTGTTTGAAACAGCCATTGCTTGGAACTTGCATGGTTGGAATGTTATTTACCATTTGCTGCATTTGAAATAGACCACTTCAGTATCTGAGGAGTTATGAATAGCGCTGAATATTATGTCTGTTGATGACTGCATGCTCACTTCTGACCTTATGACAGAGGTTGGCTGAAGATGATTGGACCAAGGACACCACATTGAGGAACTCCTGCACTGATGTCCTGGGACTGAGATGATTGTTCTTTAACAAAGATAATTATTTTCCTTTTCACTAGACAAGACTATAACCAGTGGAAAGTTTTCCAAATCCCACTAGCTCCAATTTTGCTAGGGCTCCCTATTGCAGCACTCAAGTCAAATTCTGTCTTAATGTCAAGTATAGTCACTCTCACTCACCTTTGGAGCTCAGCTGGTTTGTCCACGTTTAGATCAAGGTTCTAATGAGGTCAGGATCTGAGTTGCCTTGATAAAATCAAAACGGAACATCAGTGAGGTTATTGCTGAGCGTTGTTGACAGCATTCAAGCTTGCATCACTTTGCTGATGATTAAGAGTTGACTGATGTTTTATTAAGGGTAAATCATATTTGACTAATTTGCTAGAGAGTTCTTTGAAGATGCAACAAGCAATATGGCTAACGGAGGTCCTGTAGATTTACATCTGGACTTCCAGAAGACATTTGATAAAGTGACACAATAGGTTAATGCAAGACATTTACAAATATAGATTAGGTGAATGGGTCAAAATGTGGCAAAGTTTAAATGTAGATAATTATGAGGTCTGAGATAACCAGGTGTAGAGCTGGATGAACACAGCAGGCCAAGCAGCATCAGAGGAGCAGGAAGGCCTTCCAGTTTGGTCAGAGCAATAGAAAGGCAACTAATTATCTAAATGGAGGGAAACTTCAGAAAGCTTCAATACAGAAGGATCTGGGGGTCCTTTTGCATGACTTGTGGAATACGAGTATGAAACAGCTAATAAGAAAGGCAAATGGAATTTTGGCATTTATTGCCAAAGGAGTACAGTATACAAGTAGGGAAGTGTTGCTGCAACTGTACATTGCATTACTGAGACGGCACCTGGAGTAATGTGTACAATTTTGGTCCCATTACTTGAACAGGGCTGTAGTTGTTATTGGGGCAGTTCAGGAGGTGGTTCACTGCATTGATTCGAGAGACAAGAGGTCTGTTTTATTAAGAAATTGAGCAGTTTAGGCCTATATTGTCTGGAGTTGAGAAGAGTTGAGATATTTGAGTAGATTGACAAATTAGACATAGAACGGATGCCAGAGTTGTAACTGTACTGGGATAGCTTATTTTGATTGTGTAATCTGTCTCTTAAATGAGTTAGTTGTGATATAGTTATGTATTTCTGGGTACTGGTTTTGATGACATCATTTTCAAGCAGAGTCAAGATTTGCAGAATAAAGGAGTCATTAAAAAAGTAGAGAATAAAAGCACATCAAAATGTTTGCAATTGTTCTTTTATTTATGTTATTTACTTACATGATAAAATGTATTTCCAGAACTGAAATACAAATGTTTAATTTTGTATAAAATCTATAAATTATTCGCTCTTTGAAGCACAGGTCAATGTACTGGAATTAAGGGTAAATGGAAAAATCATTTAGACCAAGTGCTAGGAGTATGAATATCTAACTGGCACAGATGTAATAGTGACTAGCAAATCAACATTATAATGAAAGAAACAGTGCTGAAAAAACTCAGCAAGTCTAGCAGCATCTGTGGAGAGAGAAGCAGAGTTAATATTTTGAGTCTGATATGACTGAATTGTACTTTTACTGTAATGGACCATCAAATACACAGATGGATAAACTTTTGCAGAAAAATGTTATTTATTTTAAAACATGGACTGTACCATTCTTTCAGTTTACCCTTGGTTTATCTGCCTTCCCTATCTTACCCTTTATAAGCTTGATATAAAACTGGTTTAGTGTTCTTGAATAATCTCTCAATTCAATTTTTCAAAAATCTTGCACAATCTATTTGTGTATGCAAGAACATAATTTAAAATTATCCTGTATTCAGTTTTTGATCAATATAAACAACACCACGAGCAGAAAACAAATAAGAATGTACATTAACTTTAGGCTCTGGTTAGTCAAACTATTTTGCCCTGGTGAATGAATTACATTTATGTAGTTTCTTCAAAGCAAATATCTGCCTTATTAACAAGTCGGTTATTCTGGAATGTATCTTCATGTTTTCTGCCAGAGATTGGGGATCAATGGAAAGGCAAATGGACATTCTTCTCACTTCCACACACGATGGCAACTATGCCAATGTAGTACAAATACAGGATTCTCAGTGCATTAACTTCAGGTCACTTAAGTACAGACATGGTACATCAGATATTCATACTTAATGAAAGTTAGATTCCTTCATAAATGCAGTAAATAGCCATGGCACAGGTGGAATGAGTTCAAACATTTCCCAAAAGAATGCCTGCTTGCTTCGGAGCAACCAAAAACTATGCATCCAATAAGCCACTCAAAATATTCATCTTGTAGTGATTTACTTATATCTTGTCCAAATTAAACCATACTACCAATCTGCACACACACTAAATAGAAGAATGTAGGTTTGGTGAGCCAACTATCACATCAGGATTCCTGGAGAAAAGTTAAGGTGGAAAAGGACAAGAATGATTTAATTCAATTGATTTAAGTGACAACAGTGGAAACCCACTGATGAAGTTTCTCCATTTGACAATATATACATTCAAATAATGAAGAAATCAGACCCTTCTGGAAACAGGGTACAATTTCATTGTACCGTATGTTACCTAATGAGATCAATAGCAATATCATAGCACATTTCTCCCCAACACAGGAATAGGGTTGGTGTCAATCTAACCTAATCTTTCTCCACATTCAGAAAATCATTCTTATTTTACCGTGAAAGAATATTTACTGTAATTCAGACATTATCTCACATGACAGTTGTTCAAACTGAACCTCTTTTATTCAAATTTGACAGTGTACAAAACTATGAAGTTGTGGTCTGTATGAAACAAAATTAGCATTTTAAGTGAATATAAAATCAATTAATCAGCTATTCTTGTGGTCAAACCATTTGCTGCAGGATAACAGACTTGATAAGACCTAGTGATAATTTCGGAGCAGTGATGCAACAACTTAAAAGCTGCATGAGCATGGTGGGAATGTGTTCTATAGGTAAGTATTAAACTAATTTTAAAACCAGGGTCTAGGGTCGAGTCATTGCTGTGTGGATTTCTTATCTTTAAATATAACGAGAAAATGGGGAGAGCAGATTGTCAATTTGCACACATGGCAGTAAGAATACTGCCAACAGTTCCAACTGCATCACATAAGCATGTGAGAAAAGCAGAGGCATTGAATGCTTTTATTAGTAATATCTTGTTCATATTTTTCTGGCATTCTTACAGCTTTTGTACTTTACAGAGTAACTTCACAAATAATGAACGGAAGCTACAAAGATGAAGGAAGGAATGGATAAGGTAATAAGTAAAATAAAGAACAGGACAAAAAAAATAAAGGAAATAAACAAAAATCAGAATTAAGAATAGTATTAGGAAATTTCATCTTTCCATTTTACTCATTCTGTAGCATGCTGCAAAGAACTTAATGCACTTGAAGGAGATTATTAGAAATTAATCCATTACAAACATGAGAGAAGCCTGTCAAATGCAATTAAAAATATAAATTCAAAGAATTCTGATTAATACTCACTTGCTTCATTTACTTCTAACTAGAATTAAATATTGAAAACAAAACAGAGTTGACTCAACTAAATGAGCTTGATAATTTAGTCCCTTGACTTATTCATTTAATGGGTGTATTTGATGAAGCACTTGACAGTTATTACTTATGCTAGCTTCAGCATAAATCTAAATATTAACTTATGCTGGCAGGTAATTTTTTTCCCTGGGGACATTAAATAAAACAATTCAAAAGATGAACTTAGATAAATAAAGAAAAGCAATGTTAGAATTAAACAGAATTCTTTGAACTGGTTTGATTTTTTTTCTTAAAAACACACAGATTCCACTGGCAAGATTCTCCAACATCTTCACTTTGGTTTTTTCAATACGCCTGTTTAAATAAAAACAATTCTAAAAAGTAAGAGGTAAACAATAGACAGATGTATGGATTTTACAGCAAGTGACTTTTGAATAGGACATTGGAAGTATTCATTTTTGGCCTGTGATTTAAGAAGTCAATCTTGTCTTATCTGAGTGACCCCAATAATATTTAGCTAGTAATAACTAAAATATGTTTCATTTGGATTAATATGAACCAAACTCTGCAATCCATTTCTCATACTTCTCCAGGTCTGCAGCTGAAACAGACTTAGAAACTTTCTTCAGGGCCATTCCAAAATCGTCCATGGTTGTCGGCATCTGCAACTCATCCCTGGATATATTTCTTATTTCCTCAGGAGTTAGTCCTTGAATGCGACGTCGCATGGCCATCATGGAGGCATCCCTGCAGAAAATTAAAAATGGAATTCAGTTAGAGACAGCAAGAGTTATGGTATTCAGTTAGGCACTCTAGTCCCTCAAGCCTGTACTGCCATTTAATATGATCATAAGACCATAAGATGTAGGAGCATAATGAGGCCATTTAGCCCATTGAATGGCAGAGCAGACTCAATCATGGCTGATGTTTCTTAACACCATTTTCCTGCCTTCTCCCCATAGCCTTTGATCCACTTACTGATCAAGAACCTATCTATCTCAGATTTAAATACACTCAATGGCTTGGCCTCTATAGTCTCCTGTAGCATTGAGTTCCATAGATTATCCACCATCTGGCTGAAGAAATTCCACCTCATTACAGTTCTAAAGGATCATCCCTTCACACTCAGGTCCCTAGTCTCTCCTACTAGTGAAAATATCATCTCCATGTCCACTTGACCCAGGCCTCTCAGTGTTCGCTTACTTTCAATCAGATCCACCTACATTCCACCCCCTCCGTCCCAAGCATCCTTTTAAACGCCAATGAACACCGACACCAAGTCCTCAACTGCTCCTCATATGACAAGCCCTTCCTCACTAGGATCATTCTTGTAAGCCTCCTCTGGACCCACTCCAAGGCCAGCAAATCCTCTCTCAGATATGGGGCCCAAAAAACTGCTCACAATATTCCAAATGTGGTCTGACCAGAGCCTTGTACAGCCTCAGCAGTACATCCACACTCTTGAAATGAATGCTAACATTGCATTTGCCTAACTGCCAAATGAACCTGCAGGTTAACCTTAACAGGATCCTGAACGAGGACTCCTAAGGCCCCTTGTGCTTCAGATTTCCGAAGCCTTTCCCCATTTAGAAAATAGTCTATACCTCTATTCTTACCAAAGTGTATAACCTCACCATTTCCACATTGTATTCCAGCTGCACACTTCTCTGCCCACTCCCCTAGCCTGTCCAAGTCCTTCTGCAGCCTCTCAACATTACCTGTTCCTCCACTTTTGGGTTATCTGCAAACTTAGCAACAATGCCGAGTTCCTTCGTCCAGTTCGTTAATGTATAACTGGAACATTTGTGATCCTGAAACTGACCCCCGAAGAACTCTCCTCATCACCATCTGAAAAAGACCCCTTTATCCCCACTCTCGGCCTCCTACCAGTAAGCCAATCCTCTACCCATGCCAGTACATTGCTCCTAACACCATGGGCGCTTATCTTATTTAGAAGCCTTCTGTTCAGCACCTTGTCAAAGGGCTTCTGGAAATCCAAATAAATCATGGCTGACCTCATCATGGCCTCAACTCCCTTTTCCTGCCTGCACCCAATAACCCTTTACTAATTAAAAAGCTACCTCCTCCTCACATTCATTTGGTGTCCTGGCATCCATTGCACTTTGTAATGAATTCCATAGATTCATGATCCTTTGACAGAAGTAATTCCTTACCTGTTTTAAATCTGCCAGCTCTTAGCCAAAATCTACGATCTCTCAGTCTAGATTGCCCCAAAAGGGGAAACATCTCCTCTGGGTCTCCAATTAGCATCGTACATTCCTCAATTTCATCTCCGTTCATTTTTCTAAACTCTAGTGGGTATAACCTAAATTGCTCAACCTCTCCTCATAAAACAAGACTTTAATACCAAGTGAACCTTTTCTCAACTTCCTGCAAAGCAATTACATCCTTCCTCAACTAAGGATAGCCAAACTCCACACAGAACTCAAGATGTGTTTTCATCAATGCCTTTGCACAATTGCAACAACACACCCCTAGGTTTATACACTATTCCTTGAGCAATAATGCCAAAATTCTATTTTGCCTCTTTGTTACTTGCTGCACTTCAGTACTAGCTTTTTGTAGTTCATGCACAAGGAACACTCAGATCCTTCTGCACCAAAACATTTTGAAATTTAGATAAAAAGTTGCCTTTTTATTCTTTGACCAAAATACATAACCTAACTTATCCACATTAAACTCCATCTGCCAAATTTTGGCCCATTCATTATCATAGAGACAGTCATATAGCATGGAAACAGACCCTTAGGTTCAACCAGTCCATGCTAAACGTAATTCCAAACTAAACTAGTTTAGTTCCACCTACCAGCTCTGGGCCCATATCTCCAAACTTTTCCTATTAATGTACTTATCCAAATATCTTTTAAATATTGTAATGGTGTCCACATCCTCAGGATGTTCATTCCACGTGTGAACCACATTAGGTGTAAAATCAATTTGCCACTGTCTTTTTTAAATCTCTCTCCTCTTAAAAATGTGTCCCCAGCCTTGAAATTCTAGGGGGAAGACAAATACCACTAGCCCTATCTACACCCCTCATTATTTTATAAGAAGTTTTGTAAGGTCACCTCTCAACCTCCTACCTCCAGTGAACAAAGTCCCAGCTTATCCCGCCTTTCTTTATAACTCAAACCTTCCATTCCCAGTAACATCCTGGTAAATCTCATCTGAACCCTCTCCAGCTTAATAATATCCTTCCTATAACTGGGCAACCAGAACTGGACACCGTATTAAGAAAAGACCTCACCAATATCCTGTACAACCGCAACATGACTTCCCGACTCCTATACTCAAAGGACCTAAATGATCCATATGATTTGGAAATTTCTTATTCCCTAATTGCAACTTACTTTCCCATCTATTTTAATATCATCTGCAAATTTAACTATAGTACATTCTATCCCTGCATCCAATTCAGGAATAAAGACTGTAAATAGGGTCACTGCCAAGGACCAAACCCTGTGGCAAACTACTAATTGCAGCCCGCGAACCAGAAACAGGGGGCAAATTTTCCTCTGGCATGTGGGAGGCTTTTAAAGACCAACTGACTAAAAAGTGACAAAACTAAAGGATAGGAATGGCAGGATTCAGGAACCGTGGATGACAAGGGAAATTATAAGGTTGGTCAAAAGAAAAAGGGGAGCATACGACAAGTCTAAGCAGCTACAAACTGACAAAGCCCTCGAGGAGTACAGAGAAATTAAGAAGGAACTTAAATTTACAATTAGGAAGGCAAAAGGGGGCCATGAAATGTCTTTAGCAAACAGAGCCAAGGAGAATCCAAAGGCTTTTTATCTGTATCTAAGGTTTTGGAGTAGAGTTAGTACGTTAGGAGAAAGAGGGTAAGTAGGGAAAAGAGTAGGCCCACTCAAGAACATAGGAGGGAAATTATATGTAGAGCCACAGGAAGTGGGGAAGATCCTGAATGAGTACTTTGTATCGGTTTTCACCGAGGAGAAGGGCATGACTAATGTTGAGGTCAGGGCTGAGTATGTGAATACTCTAGATAATGTCAACATATTGAAAGAGGAAGTTTTGGGAATCTTAAATTGCATTAAGATTGACGAGTCGGGATCCACCCAAGGTTACTTAAAGAGGCAAGGGAGGAAACAGCTGAGGCATTGGCAGATATCTTCAAATTCTCATGGGCTACAAGTGAAGTTCCAAAGGACTGGAGATTAGTGAATTTTGTTCCCTTGTTTAGGAAAGGATGCAGGGATAATCCAGAAACTATAGGCCAGTGAGCTTGACGTCTGTGGTGGGGAAGCTCTTGGAGAAGATACTGAGGGACAAGATATATGCACAATTGGAGGAAAATGGACAAGTTAGTGACAAGCAGCATGGTTTTGTCCAGGGATGGTCATGTCTCACCAACCTGATTGAATTTTTTGAAGAGGTAATGAGGATTATTGAGGAGGGAAGGGCTGTGGATGTAGTTTATATGGATTATGGTAAGGCATTTGACAAAGTCCCACATGGCAGGTTGGTACAAAAACTAAAATCACAAGTGATTTAGGGTGGTCTGGCTAGATGGATAGAAAATTGTTTTGGTCATAGGAGAGAGGGGGTAGTGGTGGAAGGATTTTTTCAGAATGGAGACGGTAACTAGTGTTGTTTCACAGGGGTCAGTCTTAGGTCCTTTGTTGTTTGTAGCATATATAAGTGATCTGGAGGAAAATGTGGGTGGTCTGACAAGCAAGTTTGCTGATGCACGAAGATTGGTGGAGTTGCTGATGGTGCCAACAATTGCAAAAGTACACAACAGGATATAAATAGATTGGCAACTTGGGCACAGAAATGGCATATGGAGTTTAATCCAGACAAATATATGAGGTGATGCATTTTGGAAGATCAAATTTAGGTGTGAATTATGTTGTAAATGGCAGAACCCTTAGGAACACTAACATTCAGATGGATCTGGATGTGCAGGTCCACAGTTCTGAAAGTGGCAACACAGGTAACCAAGGTGATTAAGAAAGCATATATGACATGCTTGCCTTCATCACCCAGGGCGTGGAGTACAAGAGTTGGCAAAACATGTTGCAGCTATATAAAACCCTCATTAGGCCTCATTTGGAGCACTGTTTAGTTTTGGTCATCACACTACCAGAAGGATGTGGAAGCTTTGGAGAGAGTACAGCGAAAGTTCACCAAGACGTTGCCTGGTCTCCTGGGCATTGACTGAAGAAAAGTTAAAAAGACTAGGCTTGTTTTCACTGGAAACACAGCGGCTGAGGAGGCCCGATAGAGGTCTACAAAATTATGAGAGGCATAGATCGGGTGGATAGTCAGAGGCTTTTTCCCAGGATTAAAGTTTCAATTACAAGGGGGCACAGGATCAAGGTCAGAGGGGAAAGTTTAAGGGAGATGTGCCAGGGAAGTTTTTCACAGAGTGGTAGCAGCCTGGAATGCACTACCAGAAGAGGTGGTGGAAGCGGGGGCACATTGAAGACATTTAAGAGGCACCTAGATGGATACATGAATAGGGAGGGAATAGAGGGATATGGAGTGAAAAATGGCAGGTTTGTTTTTAAGATTAATTAGGGCATGATGGTTGGATCAGGCTTGGAGGGCCAAAGGACCTGCTCCTGTGCTGTACTTTTTCATTTGTTCATTTAACCTCATTCTCTATCTAGCATTCTACATTACTTTTAATCCCATGTGATCCTACTGCGTATTAATCTTGTGTGACACCTCATCAAATGTCTCATGAAAGTCATTTAGACCTACAAGTCCATCATTATCCATTTTAATTGTTACATCTTCAAAAAACTCCAGCAAATTAGCCAAACACACACTTTACCCTTCATAAACTACGCTGACTCTGATGGATTGTGTTTTGACTTTCCATGTGTCCCGTTACTCGTTCTTTACTAATGCATTCCAAAAATTTCCCAATGACAGGCACTAAACTGACAGGTTTATAGTTTTGCAAATTCTGCCTTCCTTTTTGAAAAAGGACGTTACGTTTGCATTTTCCATTCCACTGGAACCATTCTGGAATCCAGGGAATTTTTAACCAATGCATATGTTATCACTGCTGCTACTTCCTTTAACACCATGCACTTCTCCATTTAAAACCTTGAAACCATCCATGCACCTTTACCATTGCTTTTCTTCCTTTCTTACCCCTGACTGCTCCTAGGAATTACAAAATCCTCAATATTCCAACCCTGATTCCCACAATCTCTAATATTTAGTTCCCTCTCCAACAATCTATGCAAATTACTCCATCATTTTCTTCCTCATGGTACTTGCTCTTTGCTTTCTTCCCAAATGACATTTCTATCTAGTCCCCACCTAGTTAACAGTACCCAGGTTGCATTTCCATCTCTTCACAACAATGTCAATCTGGACTGCAAGAAAGTTACATTTTTGATCTTGATCCTATTGAAGTCACTTAATGTTCATTACTGTGTGCCATGGGTTCCTCCTCCAATCTACAGTTTTTTGTACAGTTACACTAACTGGTCGATAGAACCAATGTAGCCCTCATTACCTCCAGTAGCTCACCAACAAGATACTATCCTGGTTCTGTCATCTTCATCTACATTCTATTCTTCCACCACATTATCCAAAGGATCAGCTTCCACGTGAAAAATGACACTCAGCTCTAAATATCTATCACTAATAGACAGCATACATTCGAGAGGATGTCAGAAAAATCTACAGTGATGCAGATATCCTTTAGGCCTTGAGACACTCTTCTCCGTTCAGTAGAATTAAAGAGGATTCCTTTTAAAAAAAAAAAGATTCTGATAGGAGAAAGAGGAATATTATTTCTATATACTATTTGGAGGGCAATGAACAACAACCAATTTGAAATTATCAGTAAGTAGGAAGGGGGATTTGATGTCTATTTCCTCATTTCTGAAATGTTTTAACATTTAGGAATGGGTTCAGGATAAATAAATGCATATTTAAGTACGAATGATATGTGAGTATATGAAAGGTGCGTAAGTAGACGACCAACAGTTTGTGTGTGGGTGCATATGGGTGGGTGTGGGGGCTAAGAAGTGAGAGAGCGCACAAGACAGAAAAGGAGGAAGAAAAGGACAAGGACTCAGTGCCAAGTAAATATCTGACGCATGTTCGTGTAGAAGACACACTTTTGTATCTTCATGCTATTCCAGTGCTGTTCAAAACTCCACAAACAGGAAATGAAGGGTGACCTGTTAGTCTGTGTTTAACATTCAGCTCCAGAGAACTCCTGTTTTTCTCCAATATATAGAAGTAAACATTAAGCAGCTGAGGAAGGAAAAACTCTCTCTTCTCCCCCTCCACCAACATTGTTTTACATTTCAACTTTTCTTACTGTACAACTAAGGAATGTAAAGTCTCAAGATAGAAGGAATCAATAACTTGAATGTGCTGAAACAAACCTGCACACATTGGTTATGTCTGCTCCAGAATATCCTTCCATTTGTTCAGCTATTTTTTTGACATCGACATCAGCTGCCACCTCCAATTCTCGGAGGTTTATCCGCAGCAGCTCCTCTCTTCCCGTTGCTGAAATAAAAAAAATTGAACTTGCATTAAATCTATTTTGACATTTGTCTCCAGACTTTTACGTAAGAATACTGACACCAATTTGTGTCTTTATTCAGTCCTACAGCCAAGACTGAAAAATCCCCAACTTACACTAGGAAAAATTTTCCTACTATTCCCTGTCATATACGATTAGCGAAACATTATCAGTATAGTAATCAGTGTAACTCAGGATTCACCACTGATGTATTAAACAGGGGCAAAATTAAAGTTGTAGCATTCACTAACCAAATGTAACAAGCAATCTGTCACTCATCAGAATCAAAACTACTTTGGTTAAATTGTGATTCTTGCCCTATCCAAATTTTTAATACAATATTCATCAGTTGAATTATAATCTAGACGACTATTGCACAAAACTGCTAAAGGAACAGAAATGATCAAAGTAGATTGCACATATTCAACAAAATAATTTGACAAGTTATTTGTTACAGATGAGTCACAGCTTCTTCTAGTTCTAAATGAAGACCGGAAAACCTAAACTTACACTGGATATAAAGGTTTCAACCTTTGCATTATCTCATCAACTCATTGCATTAATGCTTCTTTACAACTAAACTGTTATCAGTACCTGAAGGTAAAGGAATATAAATTCGTTTTTCCAGACGCCTTCTTAGGGCTTCATCAATATCCCATGGGAAATTAGTAGCTGCTAGAACCATAACCATCTTTGAAGGGTCGTCATTTTCCGATGCACCTCCAACACCTAATACAGGGAAGCAAACAAATAAGCAAGCAACCTATTTTGCTTAATGAGATAATGGCATCAAATTGAAACTTTCCACTTAAATCTATAAAATTCTAAGAGGGAAGTCCAGAACAGGTTTCACAGTCTAAAGATAAGACGCAGGCCAAATAGGACTGATGAGAAATTTCTTCACCCAGGGTGGTGAACCTGGGGAAATTTCTGCTAGAGAGTGGCTGATGCCAAAACACTGAATGTTTTCAAGAAGTTAGTTATTGTTCTTAGGGCTAAAAAAGTGATTAAAAGGTACAGGGAGAAAGTGGGAACAGGATACCGAGTTGAATGATCAACCATGATCATAATGAATGGTGGAGAAGACTCAAAGGGCCGAATGCCCCACTCTTGCTCCTATTTTCTACATTTAATTTGGTTTCTGCTGCAGAGAACTAACAAAGAAAAAAAATGAAAATGAGAATAAAAAGTTACAATAAAAAAAGTAAAAAGATAAAGAGAAATGAGAGAGAGCATGATAAATTTTTGTACTTCCAAGGCACCTTTCACAATCTCACGATATCCCGACGCACCTTCCAGTTAAAAAAAGCATATTTTGGACAGTGGCCATTGTTAGAAAATAGGAAACATTTAGGTAAGCCATAAATGTTTGATTGCTTGTCTCAGGCATGTTTTTTTTGTTGTCTAAATAAAGTTCAATTTCCAAATTGTGTACTCTTAACCCATCTGCCGCCACATTTAATGATTGTGCTCCGCTCTTCTCACTGCATCTGGCATGAAGCCGCCACCAAACACATCTTTCAATGAAAAAGAGGAACTGAGCCCTCTGCAATATTTTCATCCATTCCTCATTGTTCCAACTCCTCTTTCCCAACAATGGAAAAGCAAAACCTGTCTTTTTGTCTCCACATTATCCAGGGTCGCAAACACTCCTTCCAGGTAAACTTATTTACTTCAACTTTCAGTTGAGCAGACAGCACTTGTTGTTCATTATGTAGTCTCATCTACACATGTAGATCAGGTTACTGCTTTGCAGAACATCTCCACTCAATCTACAAGTGTGATCCTGAGTTTCTGATCACCTGTCATTTTAATTCTCAATCCAATGTCCACTATGGCTTTTCTATTTTCAGCCTCCTACACTGTTCCATTTCAACTTAACATAAGCGAGAAGCAGCATCTCATGTTTTGATCAGGCATTTTACAGCCATCTGAAGTCAATAATGAATTCAACAATTTTTATCATAACCTCTGACCCCATTTTATCAGATGATGGTTGTTGATGATGATTTTCTATTCTTACTTATATCTCTTCTGGACCTAAGCTTTGTTTCTTTACTTCTCCAATTACATCCCCAATGACCACGCACTCTCAGCCCTTGTCTTTTAATCACGCCTGCTTTGCTTTGCTTTCCATTCCATCTCCATTTCCTCCTTCCTTACTTGTATCAAACTGATTAAATCTTTAATTGATTCACCCTCCTGAAAATGGTGAGTATTTCCAGCACTTTGTTTTATTAGCAAATTCCTGCCAAATTTCAGTTCATATACAAGAAATAGCTTCAGCCTTAAGCAACAAATAAAAAAACATTAGTCAGATTGCTGCTCAGTAGGGAAGGGTTGGTTAAATGAATGATAAGCAAGCACAAAAGTTGGCTGTGATGTTTTCCATAGTTTAATAGCCGGCTAACATTTGGACAAGGTCTTCCATTAAGCATAGAGGTGAAACAAAAAGGGGGCACTTACCATCCATCTGAATAAGTAGCTCTGCTTTCACGCGTCTGCTTGCCTCATGCTCCTCAGCAGTTCCTCTACGACTGCAAATGGAGTCAATTTCATCGATGAAAATGGTTGTTGGGGCATAAAATCTGGCCTCGAAAACAAGAAGCAGGAATGCACACCTCAGCATCATTGCCAATAATTTCACTTGAAATATATTCTGATCACTTCATTAAACAATGAAAAATCTTCATGGTAGTTTTAAAAGAGTAAAGGATAAAGTTTAAGGAGTAGGCAAAGGCCAATAGATAATTTGAGAGGGATCACATCCATGTTACTTCTTGCCATGACTCTGAAGACATACTTTCAGAAATATTTAAATGTCTTAGTCACTTCAACAACTGTGAAGTTGATGCATTTTGCTGCAGTACATTCTGCTAACTTCTGGGCTTGTTAATGTATTGTTAGAGACTCGTTTGTGTATCTGGGGTTTGCCTGCCCTAAATGTTGAAGAAGCTGTTGAGTGCCTGGATAAGAATTGCAGCATGTCTCAGTTCATGTTAGGAGAAAAGAGACACTTTTAATTATTGAAGTTTCATCAGATTTTGCTTTAACAGCTATTGTCCACCTGAGACAGTTTATTGATATTCCACCCAAATCTTAGTCTAATGAAGGACATATTTAAACAAAAAAGTAAGAAGCTGTGATTTATTTTGTGTTGCACATCTCTAGGTTTCTACTTCAGGGGTAAGCAACTTTTAATTTTGATGTTGGAGAAAGCTGTTGTTCCACTCTGATTAACGAGTCAGCTGGGAGTGTAGAATCTCTATTTGTCAGTTGTACAAAGGGACAAATATTTACGTTATCTGACAGGATCTTAGTAGCAGCTCCATGCTCACCACAAAGGTGTCAGGGGCCAGGACAGGAACCTACCATTTTTGAAGAGAGATGAATGAATGCATAATTGGACCTTTTGGTTTAAAGAATTCTCTGTCTTTGCCTGTTAAGGCTGTATTTTACTTCACCAGCTACTGTCACATTTTGTGCAGGGTTTGGGGCACAGATTATTTTGTGGTTTAGGGTCTGGTTCACGAGCTACTTTTTCAAGTTGCAAGTTGAAAACTAATTGGTCATGAATCAGGTGTTATCTACAACTACTTGTACAAACACCTACCATTTCAAACAGAAGGCGGACAAGTTTCTCAGACTCTCCTCTATACTTGGAAGTAAGCGTTGATGAAGAAATATTGAAAAATGTTGTTCCACATTCAGTTGCTACAGCTTTAGCCAGCATTGTTTTTCCAGTTCCTGGGGGGCCAACCATCAGCACTCCCTATATAAACAAGCATACATATTCTAAACCTCCACGGCAATAGTCCCTAGTTACTTAAAACTTCAGACCCAGCAACATTTACTCTCCCTAACTCTCATCTAGATTCAAGCAGCAAAACTCATTAAATCTTCTCTTCGCAGAGATGGAACACACTGCAGCTTTCTTTGCAGAAATTCCCAATTGCGACCATAAAACTAGCAGATAACAAAGTGGCATTCAACAACAGACAGGAATTCCAAGACAGGAAAAGGTCACACCCAATACCTGAAAACTGCTTCAATAAATGCAGAGTGTTCTTGCACTTCTCATGTGTTTGGAGAAGGTGCAAGATAAATCAGGTATTTGATGAGCAAACCATTTGAATATTTCCAGACTTTACCTGTGTTCTCTTTCCATTGCATTATTTTTAAGGCAATACAAGTTTCTCATTGACTCTCGGACTCTGTTTTTTCCCTCTGAATTCCAAATATGTCACCTTATATATTCTTCCTGCTCCTTGGATAATAAGGGTTAAGTCTAGATTTATGGAACCATGGCTCCATGGAGTCAATATTGTACTTCCAGATCATATTGTGAATACGTATTGATAAAGTGACAATCTTATTGTTTTAACTTGGGCCTCAAATGAGTACCAAGGTGACCAACAGTCTCAACAATTCCAATAGCATGAAAAGCACCATCTTGGCACCATGAAAAGCAGCCGTGCCAATCTTATCGCAGCTCTACAGTGGAGATTAGACAGATACATTTTCAGCTGTAAAAATAACCCATCAGCACAATTACTGCAAGTAAACCTGCACTTAAAATCTCCAGTCTCTTGAAAACTTATGCACTTCTTCAGGCTAAAATTCATTCAGCAACAATTCATGTTTCAAACTGTACAACTTTCATTTTGCTCCATGAACACCATGTCTAATATATCAATAACAATGTTTACTTATCCATTCACAATTGTGACTATGAGTACTTTATGAGATCATGCATATTTCTAAATGACTTGTCCAAGAAAACCTTCACAAAAACACATGAGTCACTTAATAGGTAACAGAACAATTATTAAATACAACAAAAAATGTTCACTTAACGATATATTTCTAATTTTACCTAGAAACTGCAAGACCATTTAATTCTTACTGGAGCTTTCCACAACATCCAGGTAAAGTAGGTGAGAGGGAATGTCAGATGAAATTCAATATGAATCATTACAAACTGAAGTACATTTGCAAATGAAACACAAATAGTGGTTGGCTTTTTAACTATACATGTGGAAAAGGTAAAAATAGACTGGCGATTCGCAAATATTCATTAAAAGTACAAAGTCAATGAGATGTTATTAAGAATGTTATTAGTACTGCAATGTATCTTGCATTACAAATTGTATTCCTTTATGCTAAAATGTTTAATTCATTTGTAATTCTACATACGGAATGTGCAATTTCGGTTATTTAATTTTCATACACATTGATAACATCTGATGGCTTAAAGGAATAACAGGGATACTTCTGGGACTGAGAGTTTGAAGTTTAAAAATAGTAATGTGAGGATTGACCTCATGGAGAAGTTTTACTTCATTATTTGGCTCAATTAGATAAGCAAGTAAATGGGTGATAGCCCCCTCATGTGTGTATGCGCGGGGTAGTCCCCCAGAACAAGGATGATAGGCAAGAACCTACAAGTGAACAATATTGTTGTTATATAATCCTATATAGTATAGAATGCTTATAACCTGCCAGATGAGCCTTGTAACTTTTTACTATTTCATAATTTAACCAGTGATGTTCGTCAATGGGTTACATACATACCAAAAAAAAACACAATATAGATAGCTTTTACCAGGATACGTTGAATATTATCTTACTTTCCAAGGTCGTCTGATTCCTTTAAAGAAATCTGGCATCCACATTGGCAAAACAACGGCTTCTTCCAGTAATTTTTTTGCTGACGCCAAGTCTGCTATATCATCCCTAAACACAACATAGATTAGGTTACTTGATGTTTCACAATTATGTCGTGCTTACTTAGCTTTAGCACTGGAAAACAAAATTGGTATTTGACAGCCAAGATCAATAAAAGATAATCTCATAACTTGGACCTTTATATAAAAATTGACACAGTTCATTATTTCAAAGTGAAATTGTTAAGTGCACAAACAGTCCCAATAGTTCTGTAGTGTTTGATTCTTTTGAAATGTTAATGATTTTACTCACCATCGAACATTTGGGTTTTGTGATATTATGTCTCGCTCCAAAGCTTCTACTAAATCTCGGTCATTCCCAGAACCATCAAACTTTTTTGGCTCACTTTCAGAGGTATCAATCGCTTTAATCTAGAGTGATTTAGATCAACATACTTAATCTTTATAAGCAGTCAAATTCTCAACCTTTTATGACATCCTACTGAAAAATTAATTTGGTAAAAAATATGGAGGAATTCTTAATGTAAATTACTAAGAATATATTTTGACAGAAACTTGCATACAAATAAAAGTTTATAGAGGAGCAGAAGTGAATCCTAAGGGGAAGTAATAAACTCTTTCTTTGATCTACATCAGAAATGACAAATATTTTACAAAAATATGCATGCGATAATATTTTGCACTTTGCAAATTATCAAGCAAAATACAAGAGGATATGTGAAACATAAGGCAAACTGAAAACATCTACAACAAACCAAATGAATACTAAACTGCTAAAAGTGAGAGTTTAACTTACTTGCTAGTAAGAACATTGTAAATTAAAACCCTACAAGGGCTTGAACATATCATTTAGTTGTTAAATAATTCCATTAAACTATGTGAATTGGAAGAGGAATTTCTTCTTGTCAGAATTCCCAACACCACCTCTGCAACCTCCCAAAAATAGATTAACTTGTCATTCAGTTTATAGCTGTTTGTCTGTATGGTTATGCTGACTACTATTTTTAATCACATAACAGTGACTGCACTTCAGATGAGTTCCAGGTTCCATTTTTTTCTTTGATTTATAACCTTAATCAGATGCTGCATGGGTTGGGTAAATAAAAAAAAGTGTGCCAGCTAGTGAAAAATAAAGCATGCATAGTAATATAACAGGACTTGCCTTTGTAGGCCATCTACCTGGTATCATTTGATTGTCCGTAAGTCACCAGTTCCCTTGCAATTCTAATAGATAAACACCCTACAGAAAGCACTGGCAAGGTAAAGAATGTTAAGGACAATCAGGTTGCAGCACTTGTTACTCTGAGAAAAAACTGTCACAAAAATCTTCACTCAAGATATACAAATACCTAAAGACGTTCTTGCTCACCACAATTTATTTCTAGTACTTCCTTAAAACAAATAATTCTACAATGTAAAGTGAATTACTTTATATTTTAAGATTAATAAAAACATACCTTGTCTTCCTTTCCTTTGTTTTGATTTTCTTTCTTGTCCTTTCCTTTGTTTGATCTCACTCTATCATTGTTCCCTATTCGGGGTACAGAACGACTAGAACCTCTAACTGGAGCTCCGAGGCGGTCTTTCTGAGGAGCTCTAAGGTCATTGCAAGGAGGAGTTGACTGTCGCTTTCTTGGATGTGGAGATGGTCTACTTTCAGGGAAATACATATTAGCCAGTGTGGATAAACTCAGATAATGTTCTCTATGCAAATCAACTGCACGTAATTACTCAAAACTATATACTATAAATGGTTTAGATTAGTGATGCTCAAATTATGGGCTGTAGGCCATAAACTGTCCACCAGAGCATTTCAAATGGCCTGATATTTGCCATTTCCTGACATTGTGAATCCTGACTGATGGTACCCAGCCACGATATTTTGTATCCTGCCTAGTCAGGGAGCAGCTGGAGTTGAGTTGCCCCCTTCGAAGTGGCCAGGCACACTAATTCCATGGCTGACTTCAAATTGACAGTAAAAGCTAACATATATTTACAACTTTTACAATAACATGAATTTTTTAAAAAAAAATTTATTCTTGCGGCTGATATATGGGCAACATGTTTGGTCGACATGGTCCGTCAATTCATGAAGATTTAGCACCCCTAGTTTAAATGTAATCATCATAACAGACACATGGTAATAAGGTAAAGTTTGGGAAATAAATATTTCAGGTATACAATATATCAAAGAGGCAGGTAGAATGGAAGAGTAGAAGTGGTAGTCCTGATATTAAGCAATCCTGAAGAACAGGGAGAAAGGATTTGAGCTCAGAAAATTGGGCAGTAGAATAAACACAGGTGGAGATTAGGAATAGCAAAGGTCAGAAAAAGCTGGAGAGAGTAGTTGATAGGCCCCAAATACCACTGCGCTCAGCATGAAATGAGAAATTATTGAAGTTTATAATAAACATATTAGCTTTATTCTTTATTCACAATTCACATATAAAACTGGTAAAGGTTTCTGAACAATGGTTTTGTACAAGGATTTTGTGACCATTTCCCAGAGCAATACATTGTAGAACCAGTTAGGGATAAAATTATTTTGGTTCTGCCAATGTACAATGAGACGAGGTTAATTAGTAATGTCGCAGTAAAATATCCAGCAGGAAGTAGTGATCATCATACAATTAACTTCCCTTGTTACTTTTGAAAATAAAAAGAGAAAGAGGACGATCTTTGCCTCGTCAAGCCTGCCCTGCTATTCGATAAAATCGTGGTTGATCTGCCCTGACCTCAATTTCTCTTTTGTGTCAGCTCTTCAAAGCTCTTAACTCCTTGATATTTCAGAAATCTAAAACCTATTTAAAATACTTTCAGTGATCTAATCTCCATAATTCTATGGCGTAGAGAATTCCAGACATTTATTACCCTCTGGGAGAAGAAATTGCTTTGGGTCTAAGTTTTAAAGTTTCTGAAACTATGTTCCCTAATTTGAGATTCGCCCATTAGTGGAAACATTTTCTCAGCACCTACCCTGTCAAGCCCCTCAAAATTTCGTATGTTCCAATAAGAACATCCCTCATTCTTCTAAACTGTAATGAATAAAGGCCCAAACTGTTTAGACTTTTCTGTCAAGACATTGCTATAGGATCCAATTCTTCACACTGAGGTACAAATAAAAACTTAACCTAATAGGGGTGTCCATATCATATCCTTTAACAGAAACAGCCAGTTAATGCATGTGTGCATGCTAATGGCGATTTTTGGGTCTAATCAAAAATTATAGAATCATAGAATCCCTACAGTGCAGATAGAGGCCATCCAGCCCATCAAGTATGCAACAACCCTCCAAAGAGCATCCCACCTAGATCCACCTCCCACCCTATCCCTGTAACCCCACATTTCCAATTGCTAATCCACCTATCCTGCACATCTCTGGTCACTTTGGGCAATTTGACATGGCCAATCCACTGAACCAACACATCTTTGGATGGTGGGAGGAAACTGGAGCACTTAGGGGAAACCCCTGCACATACAGGGAGAACATGCAAACCCCACTCAGTCACTCAAGGCATTGTAATGCAGCCATGCTAACCACTGAGCCAAGGTGTCGCCCCAAATCTTTGTTTGTCGTCTAACATTGATAATCATGGTTCATGCACGAGTTTTGCAAGTGGCAGAAGACAGGTGAAGACTAAAATTTAAATAAGGTATATTTTACTCAACATGGATTTATAATTATGAACACAATTATATGTGTTCCAACTGAAGGTTAAAGCTCTGGCAACCAAATAGAACACAAGATCCAGAATCCCAGGAGATGAGTAAGCATGGGTGGATAAAGTTCTGAGCACTATTCTCAACAAGTCATGATTAATTTTATTCATAAGCATACATTTGCTGCAGAGTCATTATTTTTATTTTTATGCTATAAACCTAATTTCTCTACGTTCAACAATTTAATGTCCTATATTATGTCTACCACAAAGGGAGATCTAGATAGAGATTTGCTTTTTTAAAATGTGTCTAAGCAAATATAATAGCTATTTCAAACAATACTTTGCAGCTCACATAATTTGAATTGCAAAAGGTCCTTCATTGCAAGGCTCTAGAACACCGCACACAAGATATTACTTACTTGCGTTCTGCAGGCACAGGTAACGACCAGACTTCTGAATCATGTCCTTCATGTCGTACTGCCTGCAACGGAGAGCTGTCATGTTTAAAGCCATCCAATGTTGACATAATCTCTTTGACATGCTGACATTCTTCAGTTATCTCTTGCCATACCTGTTGAAATACGCGGTAAATGAAAGGTTCTGATTCAGTTAAGAGTTTGCACATATATACAAATTAGGGAGTTTGCTGCTACCCTGGCTAACAATCAAAAGTTTATCATTTATGTCATTTGCTGACTGTAGGGCATTGTTGCTGTGTTCAACACCAACAGTACTTTGAAAAGTAATTATAGTCATAGAATCAGAGATGCCCAGCACGGAAACACGCCCTTCGGTCCAACTCGTCCATGCTGACCAGATATCCTAAACTGATCCAGTTCCATTTGCCAGCATTGGGCCCATATCCTTAAATGTTGTATTTATACCAGCATCCACCACCTTCTCTTGCAGCTCATTCAATACATGCACCACCCACTGTGAAAAGTTTGCCCCTTAGATCCCTTTTAAATCCTTCCCCTAACACCTTAAACCTAATCCCTCTAGTTTTGGACTCCCCTGCCCTTTGAAAAAAACCTTGGCTACCTATGGCCCTCACAGTTTATAAAATAAAAAGATCCCCCCTCAGCTTCCACCACTCCAAAGAAAATAGCCCCAGCCTTTTTAGCCTTTCCCCACAGCTCAAACTTTCCAACTCTGGCAACATCCTTATAAATTTTTTCTGAACCCTTTCAGGTTTCACAACATCTTTCCTATAGCAAGGAGACCAGAACTGAATGCAATATTCCAGAAGTGGCCAAACCAACATCCTGTACAGCCGCAACATGACCTCCCAACTCTTATACTCAATGCACTGACTAATAAAGACAAGCGTACCAAACACCTTCTTCACTACCCAGTCTACCTGTGACTCCACTTTCAAGGAACTATGAACCTGCACCCCAAGGTCTCTTGGCTTGGCAACACTCCCCAGGGCCTGACCATTAAGTGTCTAAGTCCTGCCCTGATTTGTCTTTCCAAAACACAGCACCTCACATTTATCTAAATAAAACTCCATCTGCCACTCCTCTGCCCACTGGCCCATCTGAGCAAGGTGCTGTTGAACTCTAAGGTAACTTTCTTCCTTCCAATTTTGGTGTCATCTGCAAACTTAATAACCATACCCTTTACATTCACATCCAAATCATTAATATAGATGACAAGAAGCAGTATACCTAGCATCGATCTTTGCAGCACACCGCTGGTCACAGGCCTCCACCAACACCATCCGTCTCCTACCTTCAAGCCAATTTTGTATCCAGATGGCTAGCTCTCCCTCCATTTCATGTGATCTAACTTCATTAACCTGTCTATCATGCAGAACCTTTTCGAACACCTTGAAGTCCACATAGACAACGTCTACCGCTCTGCCTTTAATCTTTGTCACTTCTTCAAAAAAAAACTCAAGTTAGTGAGACACAATTTCCCATGTACAAAGCCATATTGACTATCCCAAATTAATCTTTGCCTTTCCAAATGCATGTAAATCCTAACCCTCAGAACCCCCTCCAACAATTCACCCAGTACTGCTGTTAGGTTCTCTGGTCTATTATTCCCTGGCTTTTCCTTACAGCCTTTCTAAAATGATGGCACCGTGTTCGCCAACCTCTAGTCTTTCAGCATCTCACCTGTGGCTACCAATGATAGAAATATCTTGGCAAGGCACCTGGCAATTACTTCCCTAGCTTCCCACCAAGTTCTGAGGCACACCTGATCAGGTCCCAGGGATTCATCCACCTTTATGCATGTTAAGATGCCCAGCACCACCACCTCTGTAATTCAGACACACTTCAAGTTATCACTATATATTTCCCCACATTCTCTAGCTTCCATATCCTTCTCCACAGTAAACACGGATGCAAAATACTCATTTAGGATCTCACCCATCTTCTGCAGTTCTACATATAAGCAACTTTGCTGATCGTTAAGATGCCCTATTCTCTCCCTAATTAATCGCCTTTCCTTAACGTATTTGTAGAATCTCTTTGGATTCTCCTTAGCTTTAGCAATTAGAGTTATCTCATGACCCCTTTTCGCTCTCCTGATATACCTCTTAAGTATACTCCTATTGCCCTTATACTCTTCTTTGAATTCACTTGATCCTTGCTGTCTATACCTGATACATGCCTCCTTTATTTTCTTGACCAGAGCCTGAATTTCTCTAGTCATCCAGCATTCCCTACACCTACCAGCCCTGCCCTTCATACTAACAGGAACACACTGTCTCTGGACTCTATCTCATTTTTGAAGGTCTTTCAGTTAGGAATGTTGTGAGAGCCATGATAAAACACTGGACAGTAAACTCTTTGAATCTTCAAAGACAGCTGTGCAGAAATCTATAGTTTGACATTAGTGAAATCCACAACACTAAACAATAGTTTTTTTTTCCAGAACATGGACTTTTAAAATACAAAGCAAGATTTATAATATAAATATATTTAAAAGAAAATCCTGATAATGCACTTACTGATATAGTTCTCTTTTATATTTTCGTTTACCTTAACTTACAGTTTTGTTCAGGTGCATTGACCACTGTTCAATGTTTAGATTTGGATGGGGTTGATGTCCATCTCTAGCTGACAATCACTGAGGTAGTTACTAATGAAACTTTACGATTGCAGTTCCAAGGATGTTGCCAAGCAAACATGTGAAGTGTACAGAATATTACATAATTTAACATTTTTCTAATCAACCTGTTCAGAGAGGTTATTATACACCTCTACACGGGTGGGTCTTGAACCCGGGCCTCATGTCCCAGGAGTAGGGACACTTCCACTACATCACAGGAGGCGCTTTATCAGTGGAACTGAAAGCATCTACCATACTTTGAAGAGCTTCTGGTTTTCCAAATGGTTTGAAGATCTGCAGAATTAACCTTCGCTTCAGGTATAACTTACTATTTTATCAACTGTTTATTTTGTGGTTTGGATGGATAATGTGGTTGGGTGTAGGGCAGGGAGAGAGGGTGGACTGGGAGAAGAGAGGGTGGGCAGAGTATTTGGAAGAAAGAGAAGAGGTGAGGGAGAAAGATAGCACAAGCAAGAAGGAACAGCACATTTCCCACAAATTAAGTTTTGAAAGCTTATCACTACTGCTCGTATAGAGAATCTAGCACTACTCTTCACTTTCCACCCCACCATCATCCATATCCCAAGGATCATAAGCCACCATTTCTACCATCTCCAGCGAGATGCCATTATCAGACACATATTCTCCTCCCTTACCTCATCAGCATTCCAGACAGCATTCCCTCCAGACAGCCTGTTCCAGTCTTTCTTCATTCCTGATACCTCCATCTAAATCGCAGGAGATTTACTTGAGCTTCACTTAATCTAATTTACATTGTGAGCAGCACATACAGTAGTCTCCTCTACATCGAGGAGACAAAATGCAGACTGGGCGAATACTTTGTGGAACACTTATGTTCTGCCCACAAAAATGACCCCCGAGTTTCCAGTTGCCTGACACTTCAACACACCACCTGGCTAACATTTCTATTTCAGGCCTGCTATAGTGCTCCTATGAGGCTCAGGGCAAGATGGAAGAATAGCATCTTATTTTTCACTTGGGGACCTTGCAGCCTTCCAGACTCAATATCAAGTTCAATAATTTTAGGTCCTGAGCACCTTCCTCCATGTTCTTTACCCACCCGCACATCACAGGCCTTATCGTCACAGTCTACTTTCAGCACAGCCAACCCACTTTCCTCTTACAGTCCTATTAGGAACTTTTTTCTCTCTCCCTGCCTAACCATTATCTATCCCTTTGTCTGCCTAACTGTCTTTCGTTCCATCTATTGCTTATTTCTTTAAACTTCCCCAGCCCCTGTCTTCAGCAGATAAACCACCTTCTCCCAGCTACCACTAGCTCTGAAGGAGGGTTACTGGAGCCACAACATTGCCTCTGCTTTCTCTCCACAGATGCTATGAGACTTGCCAAGTTTCTCCAACAATTTCTGTTTTCATTAGAGAATTTGACACTTTTTTTAGTATCAACAACAGCATTTACTCAGTCACAAAACAGATTTTCTGTCACTAGCACATCTCATTTAGCCAGTTCAGACTCAGCAAAACAGTGCCAGAAGCATGACCTAGAATCTGGCAGTCAAAAGACAATAGGTGAACTTCCCTTTCAACAACATAGTGTCTGGAAAACTACATTTAAAGGTGACTGAGACAAAGGTTCCATTATAGGGAACTTTGATTCTGTGTCATTTGTGACTGAGATAAGGATCATAAAGATAAGTACATGTGAGGCAGACCTTATTGCCATATATTTAATCTTTCTATGGAAAACTCTCTCAGCAGTAAACTACTTACCTGACATTTTTCTGCTACTGTCTTGCCTGTACTGGAGACAAGTTATAATGGTTCAGGTCTTCCAATCCGAATTGAAAGTATTGGAAAGGCTATTTCCAGTTCTGATCAGTATCACTTATCTTGGAGAGGAGTTCTCTCTGCAATCATTTGGGAGAGGTGTCTACTCGAGTCCAGGCCAGGAATCTACACAGCCAGCAGTGAGGTGGATCAGTGTTGAAACTATAGCAGGCCAGGCAGCATCAGAGGAGCAGGAAAGCTGACACTTCGGGTCAGGACCCTTCTTTAGAAATGGGGGAGGGGGAAGGGGGCTCTGAAATAAATAGAGACAGGAGGGGTGGGACTGGGGAAGGTAGGTGGGATGGCGATAGGTGAGTATAGGTAGGCAGTGGTAGGGATTGGTCAGTGAGATGGGCGGGGTGGATAGGTGGGAGAGAAGACAGACAGGTCAAGGAGGTGGGGATGAGAGGGAGGGTTGGTCATGGGATGAGGCCAGGGGTGAAGAGATTTTGAAGCTAGTAAAGTCCACATTGAGACCATGGGGTTGTAGGCTCCCAAGGTGTAATATGAGGTGCTGCTCCTCCAGTTTCTGGGGGGGCATCATTGTGACACTAGAGGCGGCCCAGGATGGACATGTCGTCCAGGGAGTGGGAGGGGGAGTTGAAGTGGTTTGCGACTGGAAGGTGTCATCGATCACCTCAACCTTTCCACCCCTCTCACTCACTCCAACCTCTCCCCCACAGAACGTGGGCCCCACTGCTCCAACCCTAACCTCACTATCACACCCATGGATAAGGGAGGCGCAGTTGTGGTATGGTGCACTGACCCTGACATCGCCGAGGCCAGGCACCAACTCTGACACCTCCTCCTACCGCCCCCTTGATCATGACCCCATCCCTGACCACCAAAACATCACCTCAGGTGACATCCAGCCCACTGTCTCCAACCTCATCAATCCCCAACCCCGCACCGCCTGTTTCTATCTCCTTCCCAAAATCACAAACCTGACTGCTCTGGTCGACCCATGGTCTTTACCTGCTCCTGTCCCACTGAACTTATCTCTGCTTATCTCAACTCTATTTTCTCTCCCCAGTCCAGGAACCTCCCAGCTACGTCCGCGACATCACCCACATCCTCCAAGACTTACAATTCCCTGGCCCCCAACACCTCATCTTCACTATCGATGTTCAATCCCTATACATTTGCATTCCCCACGCAAATGGCCTAAAAACCCTGCTTCTTCCTGTCCTGCAGGCCCAATTAGACCCTTTCACCGACACCCTCATCCTTAACTGAACTCATCCTTACCCTTAACAACTTCTCCTTCAACTCCTCCCACTTCCTATAGACTAAGGGGGTGGCCATGGGAACCCACATGGGCCCAAGCTATGCCTGCTCTTCATAGGATACATGGAACAGTCCCTCTTCTGCTGCTACAGGCACTATCCTCCACCTCTTCCTCTGCTACATTGATGACTGTATTGGTGTTGCCTCACGCTCCCAAGAGAAGCTCAAACAGTTCAACAACTTTACTAACACCTTTCACCCCAATCTCAAGTTCACCTGGACCATCTCTGATACCTATCTCTCCCCTTCCTGGAGCTCTCTGTCTCCATCTCTGGTGACCACCTCGAAACTGATATCTATTTCAAGGCCACCGACTCCCACAGCTACCTAGACTGCACCTCCTCTCACCCACCTTCCAGCAAGAATGCAATCACCTACTCCCAATTTCTCAGCCTCCGCCGCATCTGCTCCCTAGAGGCGGCGTTCCACTCTCGAACATCCCAGATGTCCTTGTATTTCAAGGACCGCAACTTCCCCCCTTCAGTGGCTGACAACTACCTCAACCGCATCTCTTGCGTTTCCCGCACCTCTGCCCTCACACCCACTCCCCGCAGCAAAACAAAGACAGTATCTCCCTTGTCCTCACATATCACCCCACTAACCTCTGGATTCAACGCATCATTCTTCGCTACTTCCGCCACCTGCAATCTGACCCCACTATGAAGGATATATTTCCCTCCCTACCCCTATCTGCCTTCCGTAGGGACCGCGCTCTCAGAAACTCCTTCATTCAGTCCACACTCCCCACTCGCCACTCGCCCCACCACCCCCGGCAACCACATGAAGTGCTACACCTCCCCCCTCAACTCCATCCAAGGACCCAAAAAACCTTCTACAGCAGACAGATGATCACCTGCACATCCGCTAACATGGTCTATTGCATCCGCTGCACCCGATGTGACCTCCTCTACATTGGTGAGACCAAGCGGAGGCCACTTTGTAGAGCGCCTGCGTTCGGTTCACGACAAGCGTCAACACCTCCCAGTCGCAAACCACTTCAGCTCCCCCTCCCACTCCCTGGACGACATGTCCATCCTGGGCCTCCTCCAGTGTCACAACGCCACCCAGAAACTGGAGGAGCAGCAACTCATATTCTGCCTTGGGAGTCTACAAACCAATGGTCTCAATGTGGACTTTACTAGCTTCAAAATCTCCTCACCCCCGGTCTCATCTCATGGCCAACCCACCCCCTCATCCCCACCTCCTAGACCTGTCTGTCTTATCTCCCTCCTATCCGCTCCTCCCACCTCACTGACCAATCCTCACCACTGTCTACCTACACTCACCTATCACCATCCCACCTACCTTCCCCAGCCCCAGCCCCATCCCCATCCCCACCTGTCTCTATTTATTTCAGAGCTCCCTTTCCCCTCCCCCATTTCTGAAGAAGGGTCCCAACCCGAAATGTCAGCTTTCCTGCTCCTCTGATGCTGCCTGGCCTGCTGTGTTCCTCCAGCTCCACACTCTTATCTCTGACTCCAGCATCGGCAGTTCTTGTCTGTGTTGAAACCATGCTCCTTCTTCCATGACAATTCCTACCATATACTAGGATTTTAGTATCCCGAAGCCACTTACATGGGTACTGAGAGAAGTGTCTAGGTTAAGTGAGGGTGGGTGAAAGTAGTAAGGTAGGTGGACAGGGAGTTGAAGTTCAAGGGAAGTGGGTGTGCCTATGTGTTTCACAGCAAATCTAATTTAGCAATGGTGGGTGAAGGACCGTGTCAGATTCAGGGAAGTTCACAAGGGGAGTTGTTGGGTTGAATCTGCTCAGGGTTGGGTCAGTGGTGGCAACGGGGGTCAGCTTAATAGTTACCCAGGAGTTACAGCAGGTTTTATCTGTCTAACATTTTCTTAAGCTAAGTCAGTCACAACTCTCCGAAGTCTCAATTTTTAATTAAAACAGGGTGACATTTTCAGTTGTTGGATTCAGGCGCAACAGAAGTTTCAACAACCAGGGCAATTTCTGGGGATTCAGCTGCACCAAACCTGTATTGTTTCAATACACTGCTGCTGCAACAACTATATTCCCAATGGAAGATCTGAACCAAATAAATTCTTATGTATTTTAATGCGCTGTACATAGGTATCATGCACTTAAAAATGAGAACTGAGTTTGGGACAAAAAAAAAAATCAAATAATCACAATTATAATACAAATAATTGTGTGTGGAGAATGCATGAAAAGCAATCATGTAGCAATAGGAAGATGGAGGCGATTTTGTCCATGACCAAAAACATAGTAGATCTGCTGTAATATTTAAATGCAGAAGTTCAGTTAAGAGCAATAAATCATCTTAAATGTTAATGTAAAATTTCCCTGGAGATGGATAAGAACTTTAAATTAATTGGTTGTGTTGTTGGGGTCCAATATTACCAGCTTCCAACTAAGAATGGCAAATGTGAGTACAGAATCTGAAATTATCTTATGCAGCATAAGCCACTATCCAGTCATGCAACAGAAGCATAAATAAGTGAGGTTCTGACCTGATTCCATTTCTGCTTGTACGAAGGATCTCTGACTGAAGACAAGTACTTTTGAATCTGTTCAATTACTCCTTGGTAGTAAACTAATGCAGAATCATAATTTCCCAATAAGGCATATTCTCTGCCCAACTTCACATTTTCACTGATTTCGTGGAGACTCATTTTCATTGCATTCTATAAAGGGAGAAAAAGAACACAAAAACTGCTTAAAACTTCAGTAAATGACTAGTTTTTAGAGGAGCATAGAGAGTATATTTACATTAGTTTAAAGCAATTTCACTGGATTTTAAATTACAAAGTGGATTTCCTATTGCTACTCATGCAGAAAACTTATATTTTCCCCTAGGACATGATCAAATTCAAATTCTCGTAAAGAAGTGAAAACTACATTGTTTTTCCCCTGAAAAAAGTTACAGTAAGGTTTCTGAGATAGTAGGAACTGCCGATGCTGGAGAATCTGCGATAACAAGGTGTAGAGCTGGATGAACACAGCAGGCCAAGCAGCATCAGAGGAGCAGGAAAGCTGACGTTTCAGGTCTGGACCCTTCTTCAGAAATGGGGGAGGGGAAGGGGATTCTGAAATAAATAGAGAGGGAGGGGGGAGGCGGATGGAAGATGGATAAAGCAGCATATTAGGTGGAGAGGACACAGACAGGTCAAGGAGGCGGGGATGGAGCCACTAAAGGTGAATGTAGGTGAGGAGTTAGGATGGGGGTTGGTCAGTCCAGGGAAGACGGACAGGTCAAGGAGGCAGGAAGGAGGCTGGTAGGTCGGAGGTGGGGGTGGGGGTTGAGGGTTGAGGAGGGAGGAGTGGATAGGTGGGAGAAAGAACGGACAGGTTAGGGAGGCAGGGACGAGCTGGGCTGATTTTTGGGATGCGGTCGGGGGAGGGGAGATTTTGAAGCTTGTCAAGTCCACATTGAGACCATTAGACTGCAGGGTTCCCAAGCGAAATATGAGCTGTTCCTGCAACCTTCGGGTGGCATCGTTGTGGCACTGGAGGCGGCCCAGGATGGACATGTCGTCCAAGGAGTGGGTGGGGGGAGTTGAAGTGGTTCGCGACTGGGAGGTGCAGTCGTTTGTCACGAACAGAGCAGAGGTGTTCCATAAAGTGGTCTCCAAGCCTCCGCTTGGCTTCCCCGATGTAGAAGAGGCCACATCAGGAACAGTGGATACAGTATACCACATTAGCAGATGTGCAGATGAACATCTGTTTGATGTGGAAGGTGTTCTTGGGGCCTGGGATGGGGGCAAGCGGGGTGGGGGAAGAGAGGTGTAGGGGCAGGTGTAGCACTTCCTGCGGTTGCAGGGAAAAGTGGAAAAGTGCCGGGGCTGATGGGGAGTGTGGAGCAGACAAGGAGTGTCAGGGAGAGAGTGGTCCCTCCAGAAGGCAGATAAAAGGTGGGGAAGGAAAATGTCTTTGGTAGTGGGGTCAGATTGCAGGTGGCGGAAGTGCCGGAGGATGATGGGGTAGTATGTGAGGACGAGGGGGATTCTGTTTTGGTTGTTATTGCGGGGAGGGGGTGTGAGGGATGAGTTGCGGGAAACACGAGATGCAGTCAAGGGAGTTTTCGACCACTGTGGAGGGGAAGTTGCAGTCCTTGAACTAAGTTTTCTATCAGCTAAGCCAAGTTGAGTAACGATACTAAGACAGCACTATTATCTGGCTAACATTCTTCCCTCAATGAACACCAAAGAGAGAGATGAATTGGTTATTCAGCTCTCTGTTGTGGCTATATCTGGGCCTGGATGTTCTTGGAACATAGAACAGTACAGCACAGGAACGGGCCCTTCGGCCCATGATGTTGTGCCGAACGTGATGCCAAAATTAAACTAATTCCTTCTGCCTGGCCTTGGTCCATATCCCTCCATTCCTTGCATATCTGAAAGTCCCTTCAATGCCCCTATCATAACTGTCTCCATTACTACTCCTGGCAACATGTTCCAAACTCCTACCACTTAACTATGTTAAAAAAAAGTGCCCCTCACATCACCTGTGAACTCACACACCCCACCCTCTCAGCTTAAATGCATGCCCCTAGCTTTAGACATTTCAACTCTGGGGAGCAAGATTCTGACCGTCAACCCTATCTATGCATTTCTTAATTTTATAGACTTCTACCAAGTCTCCCCTCAGCTTGCGCCACTCCAGAGAAAACAACCCAGGTGTTTCCAGCCTCTCCTTACAGCTCGTACCCTCTAATCCAGGCAGCATCTTGGTAAACTTCTTCTGCACCCTCTCCAAAGCCTCCACATCCTTCCTATACGTGCACCTATTGAAGGTGGCATGGCAAATTGAAAAAAAATTTAAAAAGAATTAAAGATCTTGGGATGTACAAATAGAGGTAGAGAGTACAAGAAAATTACAAGGAAGGAAGATAAAACACTGGTTCAACCTCAATTAGAGCAGTGTGTCCAATTTGTATTATACGTTTGGAAGGATATAAAGAGGTTGTGAAGAGAGCGTAGCAAAGATTCATGACAGTGGTCTCTGGGACGAGAGAGCTCAGTTTTGCAGATACATTGAAAACCTGAAACTATTCTTTCTAAAAGAATAAAAGGTTGAGAATAGATTTGGCAGAGGTGTTCAAAATCACAAAGGGCACCGAGTGGATAAGCTGGACAGGGAGAAACTGTTCTTGGCACAAGGGCAGAGAGGACACCAATTTAAGATGGCTGAAAAAGAAGCAAAGGTTTCATGAGGGAAAACTATTTTTAAGGAGAAAGTGTTTTGGATCTGGTATGTGTTGCCTGACTGTATGATTGTGACAGACTCAATCAGGGTTTTCAAAAAAAATATTAAATAACTACCCGCTAAAGATTTTCAGAGTGATGGGAAAAAGACAGGTGGGTAGAACTAGCTGAACTGTTGTTTCAGACAGCTAGCATGGGCAAGATTTACTGAACAACCTCGCTCTATGTTGAGACCATTCTATGAAGAGGAGCATAGGAACAGGAATAAACCATTCAGACTCTCTTCTGTTATTCAAGTAGATCATATCGGATCTGTTCAACTCCATTTAGAGTTATAAAACTTTTAAGACAGTTTTGCTAATTTTGACACTGAATGAGGCCATTCAGCTTACTGGATCCATGTTAGTGCTTTGCAAAAGCAGCTTAGCTAGTCCCACTTCACTTTTACTCCATCAAGCCCATGTCAGACTTTGATCCATATTCCTCATGATCTCACTTTTAACCATTTAATTAACAGTTCCTTCAGAAAAGAGAATTTAAAACGTTGCACAAAGAAGTGCTTCCTGATTTCACACTTAAAATGGACTTGTCCTAATGCTGAGTGACTGTCAGGTTGCTTGGGGATTCCCTAAAAAGAGGAAATAATTTACCTTTTACCAATCCAATCAAATTCTTTTATCAATTCAAGGCTGAGTTAAAAACAATACAACTAAATGCAAGTCAAGTTTATGCAACTTGCCACTGGTCCTCACTGACTAGAGTGGCCTCCATATTGCCTTTCACCTCTAATCCCTCTCCAACTTTAATGACCAGCTTTTACCATTCTTTCAGAACTTTTGTAATTCCATCTATGTCTTACAGTATAAAGCATTTAATGTTTATATTTCAATACGTTAAAAACAACAAATACAAGGATGTTACTGTTATAAAGATGATAATGCACTGTGCATTACATGATACAATATGCTTGTAGTTACAAGACAGCCTATCTTTGAATCACCTTGCGCAATAATAATTACACATTACAAACTGTACATCAATGTTGTAGGACCATACATCATTACTGATTCACAACAGTCAAAGAATGAAGACTAGCCAAGACACCAGTTCCTTTTCCAGGTCAAGCCAGGATTAACTTTAGAAATTATGAAGCTTTCTGAATAGATAACCAGATGGCCTGAGCTAACTTTTACTGCTTTTAGACCTTATTGCCTTATAAAACCACACATCCACCTCAGAGAATACACGCTGTTTATAGGACAATATCATGTAATGATGTTAGTACTTCCAAAGAAATTTGCTAGCACTAGAATAAAGAAAGAACTTGCATTTATAGAATCCATGCCATATCCTCAGGAACTTTACCAATCTAAATTTGAACAGTTGTGTAAGGAAACATGGCAGCGAACGTGTGCACTTGAAAGGTACATGAACAGCAATAAGAAAATTAGCATGTAATGAAATAAATATGGCTCAATACTCCCCTGACATTCTTCAAATAGTGTTCTGGTATCTTTTACATAGATGTTTAGAGCTTCGATTGCAACTGAAATATCTCACAAGCATTATAGTATTCAATCAGCATTGAACCGAAACATCAGACCTGAGAACAGGGATAGCAAGAACTGCAGATGCTGGAGTCAGGGATAACAAAGTGTGGAGCTGGAGGAACACACCAGGCCAGGCAGCATCAGAGAAGCAATAAAGTTGACATTTCGGATCAGGGCCTTAGAACATTTTAACTTGAATCTTTCTGAATTACAATTGCCTAATGTGAAAACTACTGAGGCCTTGCAATAGAAAGTGACATTTCTAGCAAACATTTGCCAGATTGACAACTCTCTGGTACATTGCTTAATCGATACGTTACATAATAAAAGACAGTTCATACATTATTAGAAAAAATACAAAACGAAAACAGTCTTAATTCTCAATTATTGCGTTGTTAAAATATGCCTAATACAATTTTGTCAGTAGTCATATTTAAAATTTAAGATGTGTATAATTAAGATAATTCTTTTGACGCTTTCTTTACATTATAAAATTAATTTTGAAAGCACATTCAGATTAAGTTAGCATCTCAGCTATATAAGAAACACAATGGTCACAACCATACAACTTGTTTGTTGAACCACACACAATACCTCTAATCACAGTGCAGCTATACAACTGAACAGCTTTATTAATAGCATGATAATATTTTCATTAAAATAGTAATTTGAAACCATCATTTTAAATCATGAAATACAATATGGTCATGGCCCACATCAATTCCAGTCTTCCAACTTGCCTCAATCCTCTACAATTTGCCAACCGACATAACAGGCCAACAGAGAATGCCATATCCCTAGCCCTGCACTCACCCCTGGAACATCTGGGCAACAAAGACAACTACATCAGACTCCTGCTTGTTGACTACAGCTCTGCCTTCAACACCACTATTCCCTCCAGATTGATCTCAAAACTGCGTGACCTTCGTC